GTGCAGCCAATGAATTAGGAGTGATCTCAAATTAAAAATGGCTTTCTAAGCAGCACTGCCATGTTTATGACAAAGTCTATCAACATTGTGCTATTTATTAGTTAATCCAAGGGATCATTATTCAGGTAGATCTAGGTAGGCCTAATCAGTGTAGTCCAGATTGATATACGATAGAAGGGAGGTAACTCCAGATAATAAAACATAGCAAAACTTGACAGCTAGTCAGTTACTTCAAATTTTATTCTTTGAATCTCTTAAAGAGAGTATGTTACTAGATCTAATATATGAGTAAAAAAAATGGTTAATACCAATACAATCCATACCTGAGGTTTCAAGCAGAAAGTTTGTCAGCAATTTTGGGTGTGTATCTTCTAAAACTTCACAAAATTCGCGAAATGTCTTGATCCCCTGTTTTGAAGACATTATGTCTATCATCTTCTCGGTCCTTTTATCCCTTTCAATACACATTATCTGTTTTTCTTCATCTTCTGTGAATACATGTTTTGCTTTTAGTTTTAAGTAAACTCGATTAAAGTCAAGATCCTTCACTAATTTTTGTTTATGTTTTTCAAACAAGCGAGCAATACCTCCACGGCTCGCCATCTTTAATGCCATGAGAATCGAAGGGAAATTTTATGAATAGTGTTTTTAAATTATTTTCCTACTATTTGTTACATTAATGACAACACAAAAAAATCAAATAACGATTAACGATAAATGGCATAAATCTAATATATGTTATAAATGTTTCTTGGCTATTCATAATTGTCCAACATTCAAAAATACTAAATTACTCTAAACCTTTCGAATTACATTTGACCCTAAAGGTGACGCGATCGTTTGCGCCCTCTATCCTTTGATTGCTGAAAGTAAAACTAGAGTTATCACGTTGAATTTTATCTTGGAAAGTTTTCGATTCATCCCCTGGCTTCTGATCAAGTAGCTGATTCTTGTATATTATAAATCCCTATCTGACAGGCAAGTATGAATGATTATTAAATGATAAGAGCTAAGAGTGTACCAGTTATGAATATTTGGGATCACCAGTAGGCCTACGCCTTTTATAATAAAAAGAATATGCACAATAATGTCCTAAGTTACTAGAATTAATAGCATTATTTAAACAGATTCTGAGTTGAACATAGGCTATAAACCCAGTTGATGGAGTTGAATCAGTTTTATGGTATGATTGTCAATTTTCCAATTAATTCTATGCAGCCTGAATCGTAACTAGGCCTAATAACTTTTCAGATTAGCTTTTTAGATATTCCTATAATTGACACTTTTCTTTTGTCAAAATATCTTAATGATTTCATACAAAATCACATTTGTGGATTTTCTAACATAATGTGTCTATAGTATCTATGTCTAAATGACCTGTACTGAGCAGGAGTGGAATTTTGACAATGTTCGATCTCATAAGATGTATTTCTTTAATGTGTTAAGCTTATAAGATAATTTCAGTCTGATCAGATGAATGGAATGTTTCAATTTACTATTTAATTCTAATTTTCAGATTTATGACGGTAAATTTTATAATGGACCAAAGTGTGTAATAGTTAAAGTTGCACAATACTGTCTACTACTTAAAAACTTAGTTTAAATATGGATGAAGAAAGTGGCAGTGATAATGCTGGTAAATTTATTATTGAAAATCTAGGATGTTTTTCCAGTGTTTTTAATTAACCAGAAATATAATTCAGGCTATAAGCTTACTCTACAAACTTTTTGGGTCAAAAAGATTCGTTCTTAAAGGTTCGACCTACGTATTACAAATGGCATGGCATCATATTTTATTTGTCAAAGCTGATGGATTTATTTCAATTTGTTTTTAGGGTCAGGCTCAGAAAATGAAGGCAGTAATCATTCAGGATCAAGAGGAAGCGGATCACCAGCTGGAAGTGGTTCAGGATCTGGGAGTGAAGCTGGAAGTCCTGCACCAAGTGGTAGTCCAGTAGGAAGTCCTGCTGGAAGTCCAGCACCAAGCGGAAGTCCTGCAGGAAGCCCAGCACCAAGTGGTAGCCCAGCACCAAGTGGAAGTCCTGCAGGAAGCCCAGCACAAAGTGGTAGCCCTGCTGGTAGCCCAGCACCAAGTGGAAGTCCTGCAGGTAGCCCAGCCCCGAGTGGAAGTCCTGCAGGAAGTCCAGCACCAAGTGGAAGCCCAGCAGGTAGTCCTGCAGGTAGTGGTAGTCCTGCAGGTAGTCCAGCAGGAAGTGGTAGTCCTGCTGGAAGTCCAGCACCAAGTGGAAGCCCAGCCGGAAGTGGTAGTCCAGCTGGTAGTCCAGCACCAAGTGGCAGTGGTAGAAGTAGATCACCAAGTCCAGCAAGATCAGAAGGTATGGTTTTAATAATTTTTCTATTGTATTCAACTGGATAATGTTACATGTAAGATTGGATATCTTTTCTGATATTTGTTTTATTGAAATGGTTCTCATTCATTTAGCTAATGGTAGTGCAGCCAGTAGTCCTGCAAGAAGTAAAGATGGTGAAAATAGTCCAGCTGCTAGCCCGGCCAGAAGTGAAAGAAGCGGCAGGAGTAGTCCTGGTAATGCTGGTAGTACCAAAGGAAGTGATGTTGAATCCCAAGCAGGAAGCCAAAAAAGTGGTGCTCGGAGCCCCAAAAGTAGTCCTGGTAGTCCTAAAAGTGCAGCAAGTAGTCCAAGAAGTGGTGGTAGTAGAGAAGCTAGCCCTGCAGGAAGTAGAGAAGGAAGTCCTGACAAAAGCAGAGATGGTAGCAGAGCTGGCAGTGAAGCTAGGAGTAGAGAACCTAGCCCCGCTAACAGTGCTAGTGGAAGTGAAGGAGGTAGTAGAAGAAGTCATTCTAGAAGTCCAGAAAAAAGGAGAGCTAGTCGAGATGGAAGTAACTCAAGAAGCCCTGTTGGAAGTCCAATAGGTAGTCCTAAACAGGACAAGAGAAGTAGATCACCAAGTCCTGTAGGAAGTCATAAATCTGGAAGTAGTCGTGGATCTGCAAAAGGAAGTGATAAAGAAGGTAGTGGATCAGGTAAGTTTTTATCAAATAGGGCTCTGAAAATCTTTTTATATTTCTGAATTGCTTCTGTGTGCTATGTCTTTCTGAGCACCATTTCTTGTACATTTTTTTATCATGGACTCATCATGGCTGACTTATTGATGTTTTTTTTTATTAAATATAGATGCAGAAGTGAAAAAGAAAAAGAAACGTACAGTATTAAGTGACAGTGAGGATGAGGGAGGGAAAGAGAAGGCTAATGCATCAGATGATAATGTCGAAGGTAAAATCTTTGTGTTATATTTATTAAATCTTTGATTGTGTTTCCAATTTAATGGAATTAATTTGGTAAGTGAGAAGTGGTGGTCTTGGTTCTATGGGTTCTGTTGAAAGAACTGTACACTTTTTAGCTGAAAACCGATGTTTTGACAAAATATTATATCTGCTATTTGAACTTGAAAGGGTCTTCATAGTTATTATTTACAAACATTAGACCACAAATTTTGAAAGGTTGAAAATTTCTGAATATTTTGATGTTGTAGCTACTATGGGTGATCTATTTGGTGATGCTGATGATATTAGTTCAGATGAAGATGATAAAGACAAGAAAGAAGATGAATCTCAATCACAGATACAAGTAAGATAATTTGATCCTAGTGGCCTCAGTTATGGAAGAATCTTTTTTGTGTAAATGATAGGCCACTGTCTAAATCAAGTTTATATTTATAGCATCCTGTGATAGAAGATGATGAAGACCAACCAGTTGAAGAAGAAATACCAGAAACCAGAATAGAAGTTGAAATACCACGTATTGTTACAGATCTAGGAAAAGATGTTCATTATGCTAAACTACCCAATTTTCTTAGTGTTGAAACAAGGTAAGTGACATGCTTCAATGAGAAAATGCCGTTAGCCCATTTTTTATACGCCCACATCTCTCTATGTGGACGTATATTGTTGGCACCCCTATCCGTCTGTCTGTCGGTCCGTCCGTCAACATTTGCTTGTTTTGATGGAATCAAATGAAATTCGGTATGTGTATATATATTCATAAAACAAAGATCAAGTTCGAATTTGAGCTATTTTCGACCGTTAGAAGCAGTGTTATTGCCCTTACCCGAAAATCTTGAATATTTACCATCCGCATGCCGTGGTGGGCGTATATGGCTGTGGTCCAATATCTTTTTCTTTTTATTTCCAACTGTCAAAGTATTTTTATCTTGAGCAGCACCACACAAGGCCTTGGTGTATCCCAAGATTACATAGGAAATGAAACTGAAATGAAACTGACACGAAATGCAGGATAAAGATTGGTGCTAGATTGTCAATTAAGTTGAATAGAATTGATCTACTGTCACATTTTATTCAAGGCCGTATGATCCTATGACATATGAAGATGAAATTGATGAAGATGAAGTACTTGATGAAGAAGGTAGAGCAAGAATGAAATTAAAGGTAAATAGGTTGTCAAAAAACTGTTGACTTGCAGATTTGTCAGATGACATATAGAGTTCTAGATTGTATGTTGCATAGTGGAACAGGTCTAGCTTATTCTTTTGCTTGCACTTAGGGGAACTGTTAGTTTAAGTTCATATGACTTATTGAAAGCTACGTTATCTTTCTTTACTGACTTTAGGCCCCTGTGTTTCTATTGCTATTTCACTATTTCCTTATCAATTGTAGGTAGAGAACACTATCAGGTGGAGAGCTAAAAAAGATGAAAATGGTGCTGAAATATTAGGTGATGATATGAAACCATTGAGAGAAAGTAATGCAAAAATGGTGAAATGGTCTGATGGCAGGTTGGACATTTTTATTTGAAAAGTAATTGGTCAAAAGATAAAGATAAGGACTAAGTGGAAGATGAAGTTGTAGCTTACTATTGTTTGAGAGCTTGTATTACGGATTATCCAGAACGTAGGATGGTGGTGAATAACGTTTGCATTTGTTTTTCTTGTTAACATTTTGATCAGGTATTGTAGTTTAGGTATAATGCTATTAGAAAGAATGTTTTAACTATTTCAGTATGTCACTACATCTGGGAGAGGAAGTGTTTGATGTTTATGCTATGCCATTACAAGGAGATTTTAACCATTTATTTGTACGTCAAGGTACAGGTTTACAAGGACAATCTGTTTTTAAAACTAAACTAGCTTTTAGGTAAGAGTACATAGATTCTCTTCTCCTGTGCCCTATTCTGCTACTGTTATCTTGTGATTTTCAAAGAATGCGTTGAAAGTTACTTCCCTTGGAAGAGCGGTATAGATAGCCTTAAGGTGATGAATTCAATCAAACCCATCTTTGTCAGCTTATATATCAAAATTTCAGTATTCTACAAATGTAGAAATTAACATTATTTGCATTATCAATAACCCATTTCAGTATTTCAAAAAAATCTTGTATGTTGATGTATGCCCATTGTTTTTGTAGACCTCATTCTACAGAGTCATTTACACATCGTAAGATGACCATGTCATTAGCTGATAGATCTAATAAAACACAGAAAGTTAAAATGTTACCTATTACTGGTCATGATCCAGAACAGAATAGATCAGAAATGATAAAGGTAGGTTAACAAGTAGATTATAACCGTTGTATATTTGTTATTTACAATAGATAAAAGTATTATATGATATATTAAATTCTCCTATTTTGGTGAAAGTATTGAATTCTTATTTATGGTTTCAAAACAAAAGCCAGCACCATCATCAAAATTTTCAAGGCTGAAGTAAATCAAAAATTTGTCCTAAAACCTTGTTGCATTGAAATGGTATCATCAAAAATTCAGTTAGTTATCCCTAACCCAGTTCACTGTTCCCAAATTTTGAAACCAGAAATATATTTGTGTATACCTTCTATAGAAAGAAGAAGAAAGATTACGAGCTTCAATCAGACGTGAAAGTCAACAGAGAAGAATGAGAGAGAAAGCTCATGCACGAGGTTTAAATGCTGGGTATTTAGAAGGTTATGAAGATGAAGAAGATGATGATGAAATGTCTATCTCAGCTATTAAAAGAAAATATAAAGAAGGCGTCCATAAGAAAATCAGAGGTATAGAATTATTATTGCATATTCTGATAGAGTATTGTCTAATACATGTGATTGCCAAAGTGATCATTGGAAAATAACATAAAATTGAGTTCTTCATCCTACTTATCAGCACCAGTTTAGATATTAAAGGGTGAGAGCCGACACCGGGCCAACTCACAAAAGCACTGGCACAGGCATCACAATTTTTTCTTACCTTGCGGAGGATTTGAACCCACCTAATCGCCTAGCAGACAACAGTCCAACTCACTACTGACTGAGGTATTCCACTGTTTGGATAATAATGATAGGCAATGCTGTGCAGGACAGTGGAATTAGTAGGCTCTTTTTTAATAATCATTGGTCAAGGGATCTTTACTGTACCATCGGAATGACTAGGCGAATTTCCTTGTCAAAAGTGTTGAGAAATGCCAAGGTATTGTCTTTTCATATTTATGATTGATTGTAATATTTCTTGAGCAAGATGTTAAATAATAAGGGTATTTGTGGAATTATTTTGTATGTATATTATAGATAGAGCTAATATCTATAGCAGTGATAGTGAAGATGCTTATGAATCAGATAAAGAAGATTTACAAGCTAAAAAACTTCAGAAAGCTAAAAAATTAGACAGTGATGAGGTAAAGAATTGAATTTCTAATTTATGCCAATCATCTTTGCTGGATTCATTTGAAAGAGCTCTCACTCCTGTTCAATGAGATCATGTCTACAAATATTAGACTGATTCGTGTTTATTTCCAGTATAATAATGTTTCATGGATGGTGAATTGAACATTCTCGACAATATTTAATTGAGATTTATTTCTAATGTATGACTCATTTACACATATCTATCAGCCATTTTTGTGCTGAACTTGACTGACATATCAACAACCTGTTCAAATGTAATTCAGAAAGCCAACACTATTAAATTATAGTGGAGGTAAAAGCTATGTATTTTGTTACTTTGACTAAATGATATACTTTATTTTAGGATTCTGGTTCAGATACAGGACCTCGTAAGAAGAAAGCTAGAGTGGTCAGTGATGATGAAGATGATGATGATGATGGTGGTGGAGCAGCAGTAGGTGGGGGTAGTGGAAGCGAACATGGTGAAGATATGGGAATTAATGTTGAAAGTGACTAAAATTTGTATTCAAATATGGAAAGAACTTGTGTTTGGTGCCAATAGATTCCATACTTGGAAGCTTGACTGAGAAACAAAGCTGTTAAATTGAAAATTTTGAACATCAACATCATCTCTAGAGTTTTTGGAGTTCCAGTTTGGAATCACAAATGGAAAGTTAATATCAGTAAAATGATAGACATATCTGACTAAGTAAATGAACAGGACTAATTTCATCTCCACTTTTGAAATTTCTCATGTATATAGTGCTATCATTTTTTCTTATCATGTTCATAAAATAATGTACAGATTCATCCGTATTAAAACAATGAAATAAAAAAAAAAATTATTTTTATTTTTCCAAGAACATAGTATAAATTACAAAAAAAAAACATATTAAGAATAACCTTGGTGGTCTTTTAAAAACTGAAGAATGGTATTGTCTCTCAATGCATCAAAATACACACCAATGGCTTGATTACATCTCAAAAAGAATCCATTAAACTACTCCAACTCACTGAGAGCGTTTATTCATGATGCACTCTTAGTCGTGACATTCTCCCACTCGTTTTACACTCTCAGTCATGTTGTACTCTTTCAGACTTCAAACTCAGTCATGTTTCACTCTCAGTTATGTTGTACTCTCAGTCATATTGTCGTGTTGTATTCTGTCTTCTTGTACTTATTTTCTCAGTCATGTTGTACTCATAATGCACTCTCACTCATGTTGTTCTCTCAGTAATGTTGTACTCTCAGTCATGTTGTCCTGTAACTTTGTAAACACAACCTCTCTCAGCTAAACATTTCAATATTTTAGCTATATTTTTAGTATCGTCAAAACCACTGTGATGTCTACCATCTAGTGTTAAATTTAAATCTTTTAACATTGTTTTCATACCGTGACCCTTTTTACCAGTCATCTCCTGAAATGGCTGTAAAAGAAGAATATTTCTGTAAAATGACCTTTTAATTCTGTATTATAGGCTTACTAGTTCTTAAAGAAACCTCACAGTAAAACAAAAGATAGCTTGCCAGGCAAGGTAATATACGCCCACTGATAGCTTTGTTTGAAATTGAATATTTGTTAGAAAATAGCAAACATAGACACCAGGAAATATTCAATTTATACCCAAATCCATCACAAACTGTGCCATCACAAGTTAAAAATCAAACACATTTGTAAGAATAACGGCAATAACTAGTATTTTATATTTCAAAAGGTTTAGTTTTGATTGTGATCAATTTCATCAAGTTGTCAAATTTGTTTTAGACTTCTGCTTTGTAGAATAAAAATTTTTCGATTTCCCTGATTTTTCTATAGGGTTTATCCTTGGGTGAATACGAACACTCATACCAAGTTTCGTCAAAATCTGTCAAGAATTGTGCCTTCTAGAGTGTTTACAACCTAAAAAATGAACGGTTTGCAAGAACAAGGGCAATAATTCATACTAAATATTTTTCCTATAGTAGCCTACTTATCCAGCAACACAATTCAATCTTCCAAGAAACAAAACCTTTCCCCTATGACCCATGTTTAATTTCATTTTTGTATCAGCACAATTGGTGAAAATGAAATGATTAAGCAAACCTTTTCTCTTGAATGACATTTATAAAATGAAATCAGATAAACTGCTGCATCTTGGGATGTCACATGACTAAGCTATGATTGGATTTTCCACTTGGTCTATTTATAGTATCTTATGATGCTGTACATGTATGGTGGCTAGTAGGGACATGTTAAATGATTAAATTAAATTTTCTTATTTGTTAACCAAAATAGTTTCTCAGGAAAATAATGACATCTATTGTAAATTGTGATTATGAACAAAAAATTTGTGACTTGTAGAGTCTGTCAAGAATTGTGCCTTCTAGAGTGTTTATGAGCTAAAAATTGAACGCGTTTTCAAGAACAAGGGCAATAATTCATACTACTTATTTTTCGATTTCCCTGATTTTTCTATAGGGTTTATCCTTGGGTGAATACGAACACTCATACCTAGTTTCGTCAAAATCTGTCAAGAATTGTGCCTTCTAGAGTGTTTACGAGCTAAAAATTTAACACGTTTTCAATGACAAAGGGCAATAATTCATACTAAATATTTCTTGATTTCGCTGATTTTCAATAGGGTTTATCCTTGGGTGATTACGAACACTCATACCAAGTTTCGTTAAAATCCTTCAAGAATTGTGCCTTCTAGAGTGTTCATGGGCTAAAAATTGAATGCGTTTTCAAGAACAAGGGCAATAATTCATACTAAATATTTTTCGATTTCGCTGATTTTCAATAGGGTTTATCCTTGGGTGATTACAAACACTCATACCAAGTTTCGTCAAAATCTGTCAAGAATTGAGAGTTTAAATTAACAAGGGCAATAATTCATGCTAAATATTTTTCGATTTCGCTGATTTTCAATAGGGTTTATTCTTGGGTGATTGCGAACACACATACTAAGTTTCGTTAAAATCCGTCAAGAATTGTGCCCTGTAGAGTGATTACGAGCAATTGTGGACGGACGGACGGACCGACGGACATGAGTGACGACAATATACGCCCCCCATTTCATGTGGGCGTATAAAAATTGTTTGCTTCACTATAGGGTGTTCACTTTGTGATGCTTCTCTTCAGTTGGCATTTCTTCTTGAGAGTCAACAGTGCTGATATATTGAAATTCTTGGCTCTTATATCATAGACTACCCTCTGAACTTTTCTATAAATGTAATATTTCATTTGAATCCAAGTTATAATTGCTTACCTTTTTGATATTTATCCACTTATTATAATATTGAGGTAAAGGTATATTAAACCACTGAGTTTCTCTTGGTAATCTAGAATTGAAATAATATAATACATGTATTCATTTTGAACATCAACAGCATGAGATGAATTCTTGACAATTAAAAAAGAATATTTGACAATCAGATTAAGATACCTACTGTGTTTTTAAATCCCAATCACCACAAGTAACAAATACTGACTTCACTTCTGACTTCAATAAACCTTCTTCTTCCATCCATTTATCTACAGACTTGAAAGGGAAAATTTATTATTGCACAGAGAGGAAAAAAATAACAAGAATGATTTTTTTTTTTCAAATTTGGAGGCAGTAGGCTACATACTTTAAAGGGTTCACCTTGGCAAAGATTTCCCTTTAAGCTTGTTCAAGGTTGACCTTCTGATTTATATTTTGAAATCTTTTTGAAAATTTGTGTACAATTAACTGTATATAAGTAATATGTAAAAATCTTACTTGTAAAGTTCGTCTAAGGTGAGGTTTGCCTTTTACCATGTCTCTAGTTATACCAGTGATCTAAAATATAGAAATAACTCTCCAAAGTCACAAATTAAACACTGTCACAATTTCTACCAGCAGCTATAGAATATTAATCAATTCAAATGATTTGACTTCAATAGGTTACATCAATATCAAAACATTTGGAATTTATTTTAATTTTATCCAGTCTTGATGGTGAAGAGAATTAGAGAAATTCATTCTAATAATTTACATGAATTTTAAAACAGACTTACCTCTGTACATAGATCACAAATTTCATTGACTTCAGGTTCTACATATTGATGAAATATTGATTCAATTTCGAACGTTTTACCATTTACTTTCAAAATGGGAAATTCTATTATCTCCTGAAAAAAAGAGAGAGAAGTTGAACACATTCTCTATTGAATTGCAGAAGTACCAAATTTTAATACTGAAAAGTGAAGAGCTCTATCAGTTGGTTCAGATTTGAGATTTTGCCAATGATGAAATGAAAGTACATGTACTGTCAAAAAAAGTACCTGTGGTCTATATCTTACCATGGGTTTTATAACTTTATGGTCCCCATTTGCCTCAAAATCTAGGACAAGAAAATAATCAAAATTTTGTTGAACTTTAGAAGCAGCCATGATTCAGACTTAATGCTATGTTTTAAAACAAAATTAAGACTTGCCCACAAAGTTGTGGTCTTATATTTTGATTTAGTTCTGTCTGAAAATAACGAAATTTCACAATCAGCTGTAACCACCATTCAGACATACCAGTTATTTTGTTCTCAAAAAAGAACTTTGAAGAAAATCTTTCACACAGATTTTACTATGGCCATAAAGTAAACTTGATTTATTCTGTATTTGATTCTTTTTTATTTAGGTGTTCATTTAGTATAACTAGCTTCCATATTTTATGCTTTGTTTTCAAAGTTTTATAAATCATGAATTAGAGTCATGCAAGAGTAAAGAGATTGTGACACATGGGTACAGATTTCTACTTCCGTTTTGGTACGCCTGCGCACTCAACATTCACCTTGGACAGAGTGGAGAAGGAAAGTCAAGAAATAGAGAATGGTGTTTTCGAGAGCCTTGGCCGTGAAGCCCTTTTTGGGGAATCCAGCTTTCAGACAATTTTCGTCAACATTAGCAAAACGAGGGGCAGGAGGAGATGCTCATTTAGGTAAACCTACTGGGGTAAGTTGTTTAGATTCAGATATAAAGTGATATGAAGTGGTTACACAATCACATTTTTACAAGCAATTACATGTACTAGTAACAAACGAGACACATCCATCAAACTTATCCATAGTGCTTCTAGGCCTATACTTTAGGAGATTATCTCTTATGTCTAATGCCCCTAGTTCTGGCTGATTGAAATGAATATGAACCAATTAAATAATGTTAATAAATGTGTGAAATAAGAGAAAATATTCAATTCTCTGACTGTCATCTTCACAATGATATCCTGCTTTTAAGAACTTACACCTTGACTGCAACGGCCACCTTTCTTCATTGTAGCAATTTGGTTGGATCGTATATTAACAGATCTACATCTGGTTTGGCTCTATTCTCTGGCAAACAATCCAAACAAATTTCTGCATTATGTGATAAAGATCTAAAGAAAGGTGGCTATTTCAGGTACAAGACAAAGTTTGTAATGGCCTTCGATTGTGAAGATGACTCACTCTGGTCGGGGAGTAGAATGATAAACTTATAATATAGTAATTTAATATATATATTTCAGGTAATTCCAGTTGGTAGTACAAAATTTAGAATAGCGTTTATACTGTCAATGTTTGTAATGACTGGACAAGCTCTGCCAGTATTTTCTGTATGGTATTGGACTGTCAAGTAATTGACAGCTTATTGGTAAAAATTATCTCTACTTAAGGGGTATTAAGATGTAAATTAATTGGTCTCTGTATCCACTCAATTAAATTGTATATGGTGGATTTCTTGCCATGATTCATAGAGTAGCTTGTTTGGAGCACTTAATTAATGCAGTGGTATCTTTGATGATAAAGTAAATATTTATGTGGCTATTTCCAAACTGTTTTCATCTCAAGCTTGAATTTAAATTTTTTAATTTAAGAACACATAACCAGCCTATATATGGTTGGCACTTCTCACTATTAGTGAGTCACTAATATGTGTTGATTATCAAGTATTATATTTGTATTTTTCAGGAACAATTGGATGGCTATTATGAAAGAATATTTATATAATCGTAATTCTTAAATAAATCTGTAACAAGATCATAATTTCTTTTTATTCTGTCAGCTGTCTATTAATCTTACAGGTAGGCTGTTATGGGTTGATCCATTGAAGAAAGGCTGTCTGATTTAAGATATTAGTAATTAAGCTGTAACATGCTTTGAAGATGGTTTGCTAGCTCTTGAATGTGCATTCTGGATACCCGTGGGTTTTATTTGCAGCAGTCTGATTTTCAATTATATGTTCTTGCAAATCTGGATTATGATATCACTACATAGCAAAAACTGTTCAGCCTTGGGATAATAATAACAAGCAATAATTTTATATAATTTATGTGAAAATATGGTTGCAAAATGACAGTAATATATACAATATGGATTATGAAATGATTTTGATCTTATACCTCACAATTTTCACTCAACACAACTAATACATTGAATTCACAATCACACATAACTAAATTACTTAAGTTAGGAGAATCAATTTGCTTTAATCTTGGAATTAAAAGCTTCTCTTGTCTTATCAAAACGAAATACAAGACCAATAGAAATTCTTAACTCACAGGCTTAATCTTGACAAATTATAGGCTTGGCATTACTGGAAACCTTAATATGCTGTATTGTAACTCGTGTAATTCAAGTCATATACCAAAAGTAATGATTTGGAATATAATATTCAGTCTTGCGATTTTCAGGAAAAAAGTTATCACTGAGAAAGAAGGGTTAATTACAAAATTTAAATGTTTTTAAGAATACAATTTGCAAATAGATCAAATATTCACTCAAAAATTTCACTCCGACATGAAATCATACAAAATTCAAGATGTTTAGAGATAGTATGGCAAACTTATTGTTTTTATGCAATTTGAAAAAACTAAGATATTTACCCAATTGCCACATGATTTTCTAAACAGTCTCCTACCTATTTCTTTCTTGATAAGACATTGGAATATGAAGTTTTAACACAAAACAAAATCTTGAAAAATGCCCTTCTAAATTTAGGTAATATCTGTTGACATTTTCAGATTCAACTGTAACATTTTTAGAATCATCTGATAACTGCAGTAACATTTTTAGAATCATCTGATAACTGCAGTAACATTTTTAGAATCATCTGATAACTGCAGTAACATTTTTAGAATCATCTGATAACTGCAGTAACATTTTTAGAATCATCTGATAACTGCAGTAACATTTTTAGAATTAACTGATTATTTCAGTAACAAGTTAAGAATTAACTGGCTGTGACTGTGAGAGAAGATGTTACATTCATACTAGGTTAATGAAGTGAAATACTATATACATAATGTGATCAATGAATTGGAATGAAAGCATGTGAAATGGATACAATATTTATACAATTCTATATTAAATTATCACTGTTCCTCTTTATATCTACAAAATATCTTCCTATGTTACACAATCTATTACATTATTTAACATAAATATTGCAAAATTCTCTCATGTACATAATGTTTGGCATCTAATGATTATACAGTTTTTACAAATTCACGTTTTGCTAATATGATATAATACACATATTCAGATATGATAAGGATTTCAAACTGTTTCTTGAAGGCCGTCTGAATATTCAGAACTTCCAGGAAACATTTCCTTAAAATGACTTTCTTCTTATATAAACAAATAAACTTTTGGCAGTTGCTTAATTCAATTCAAGAACTGAAGGAGCCATATATTCAAATCCTCACAAAAAAACATGTAATTCTTAAAAATATAAATCCACCATGATTTCATACCTTGGTGTTGTTTCTGCTGTAATAATGACTAGAATATACAGTGGTTATTAATTGATATTATCCAAATCCTCATTAAAAATATTAAAATAAGGAGACAAAAAGTTGAACAGTTGGAGAGGCAAAAAATGGACAAAAGACAGCACACTTTTCCAGTCACACTTCACCTTGGTTTACATTTCTGCATATTAAAACATGGTCATCTGGTCCATAAAGTTTTTAGGGACAGTCCTTACAAATACCGTTTTCCCAAGGTGGTGAATAGTTACGATTGATATGGAATATCTTAAATTTGAATTATTTTGTAATATATACCTACCCATAACTAAAAAGCCATCCAGTAATAAAATTTTTGACAATTGAAGCAGAAATGTTGAAATTTCACATTAAATCTTGCTCAGCCAAATTAAAATACATAAATCTTAAAAAATATTATTTCAAAAAAAAAAAACCTTCCCAACCAGAAACTATATTAAATTTCTGATTTAATTTAAGCTGATCATAAAAAGCAGAACAAGATGGCAGATATAAAAACAATACAACATGTTTTTGGTTTCTTGATCTCCAATATACAGATTTGAGGTAAACTGACTGACAGTGCAATGACAGGTATCAATCATTCTTCAGCCATTAGTATCCATTAGTACTTCACTAATTCCACTTGAAAATCCACAGTTACAAGTAGATATACTAAATCCTATCACCGAGTACAATATTACACTAAAAACTAAATCACAACAGTTATTAGATCTAGTAGGAGTTCCGATGAACTAATTCATCACTAGTCAATTGGATGGTTTATAAAAGGCTTGTCTTTCATGTACCACATATCCTAGAAATAAGGCTGTGTTCAGATACTGACTGTATTGGTGTTCACTATTCACTAAGTTTATAATATAATTGTTCACAATAATAATGGAAATCTTTGCCTGGGTTATAAACGAGTCTGAAAAGAGAACAAATGCTATCAAATAATTTGCAAGCATATTTATATAAAACTTTAATCTGGAGTCATTAAATTTGCTAGAACTCAAGAGAGCTCATATTTTAAGAAATGATTAAATCATTTGAATGAAAAAAAATCCTCTAAAATATCGCTTTGAGTTGTTGGAATCTGATTAAAAGGACAGTTAAAGGATACACTAGTCTGAAAACATTATTAGAAGAAATTTTTGACAAGAAATTACATAAATTCTCAGTCAAATCCTCATATTAGCAATGTTACCAGCAGAAAAGAGCTAGAATTTAACTGAATATTCCAATCTGGAATTGGAACAAAGCATGCAATATTGTCAACATGACAACAATGAGTTACTAATGAACCTTCAATTCATGCAATAATAATCCCACATTTTACAGTCATTCAGCTGATCAGAACTGTACAGCAGTTACCATAACATGATACAAGTCAGAATACGCAGGAATACACATTATGGATCAGTACATTGTGCATGTGTAGGAGGACCTATCTTCAGCAACTTCACTGTTCTTTAGTGGACAATTTAGGAGCATACTGTTCTTATGGAGACAATTTTTTGAAATACTTAATGAGAATATCATTTTGGATTTGAGTCCTGAATATATGTAAATAATCTTCATTAGTACATACTCAGAATGTATGAAAATCGTAAAATTCCTTCAAAAATATCTCGAATTTGGAATATGGCACTGTTTCAAGAAAACACGACTTGTCTTTTTAACTTTCAAACTCAGATAATTCTGACATACATGGATTTGACGGCTCAAATTTCGACAGTGAGCTGTTTCTGAGACTAAGGTATGATTGGTCAAAAAAATGGCGCAACTATCCCTCTAACTCTTGTTGTAAGGACAAATGTTGAGGAACATTGCTTTCTCCCTTTGGGACACATCACAATTCATGCACATATACATACACAAAACAGCAAATTGAGACATATTTTTGCTCAACTCGATATGACATCCTCGTAATAACATAAAAAAACAATAGAGAAATATCATTGTGAATTAGGATTATTGAGACCACAGGAACATTTCCTATATTTTCAAAAACAGCATAAAATTTACCAACATTCAATATCAAAATAACCCCATCATTTATTTATAGAAAATAGATAATAACCATCTACCACCATGCAATGTTCTACATACAAAATGTTATTTTCCCTCCACTAGCATGCTATAAGCAGATTAATCAGAAAGCTTTGTACAGTATATATCTATAATACTACAGTTGTCAGACACAAGACAGATTGCAAGAATAAATTTAGAATTTTGCTGACTCATTCTTAAGACATAATAGACAGCTACTTTTGCCTGAAGTCAAATATTGACATTATCACTATCAGTCATAACAATATAGTGACACCAACGATTTGGAATAAAACTTTCTTCCATGCGGCAAGCATACAGAAAGTTCTTGTAATTGACATTGTCTTCTATGTAAGAGTCAGCAAGTTTCCAACTGATTCTTATTGTGTCAACAGAAAGTGTAAGAGGCCATGTTCAAAGAAAATCTCTACAGAAGAATTTATTTAAGTATTAAAGGGATTGTAAAGATTTTTCTAAAAATTGTAATGTGTATCAGGAACACTAATAGCATCAATTTAAACCATTTCGTTTTTCAATCAGACATCTGTGGTTCCTGCAGTTCCACTAAAACTAAATGTTTGATGATGCCACTAATCGCAAAATATGCTTTATCATATAAAACCCTCTGCAATTAGTACAATGGCGATCAAATACTGAGTTTTAGTGGAATTACAGGAATCACAGTGGTTTAAATGGTGCAAATTGATGCTATCATTGCTCCTGATTTTTTTAGAAAAACCTTTCTATAAGGAAATAAGAAAATTCAGTGATGATCCAGTCTTAGTATATGAGAAAATCCAAATATCTTGGCTGCGTTGTGTCTTATGAGGAATAATGAAAACAAAATGGCGAGAGGTAATCAAGATTTTCTTTGAACCTAGCTACAATATAGTATTAATAACTAAAATTCTACAACTAAAAAAAAGAAATATTGTGTAGACCCTATTACCTGTGATGTCTCACTGAAAATAATGAAATAAATATCCAAATAAACAGAAAATCAAAGCTACATAATATAGTTGAACCAAGGTATCTAAAAGCCCCAAATCAAAATAAATTGTGTGACATGATGAAAAAGAAAATGGGAGGGTGGAGGGTGGGGGGTGTAAGGATGAGATGTGACAATTTCAAAAGTTTAGGTACAATTGTTTAGAATAGAACCCAAGGCAAATCATATATGACAAATAACTCGTTTTGACTAATTCCTTTCTATACTTTTAATGATTCCATCATTAACATGCAATACATAAGTATCTTGGAGAACCAAGATTTAGAAAGGGATGTCTTAATGTAACAGCACCATCACCATTTTAGTTTTGGTTGAAAGGTATTTATCAGTATAGAAAGTTAATAATGAAATGATATAGGGTTTATAATATGGGAACATGTTAATTCATGCCAAACTTCGGGGTACTCTATGCACCTTCATGCATTTTCATACGAATATTCAAATTTTTCCCAGATGATTATAGTGATAAATGAATTTGATGAAAAAAAAAAAACCAACACACGAACAAATCTAAGCTAAAACACAGCATTTTAATCCCATTTTTAATCCTAATTTTAATCTATTTGAAGATAATATCAAAGCTAATTCCATACTTTCACAACTTGATAGATGTGAATTAAATGATACATGGAAACAAGCCAGGTAGTACTTTGATTAAACACTTTAAAACTATACATCTTGAAATACATAAAAATTTTCAAGTAATATGGTAGCAATCCCTACTCAAAACTAAGACCATAATACATAAATGTAATGACACATAGGCACAGCAATCAAATAGGTTAGCAGATACCAGATTTCAATTCAGAACACCATTTTGTACCAACAAATCATGATCTAAAGCTAGGAAGATTTCAGCATTTGAGCAAAAGCCTCTGTAGCAACAAAGGGAAACGAGAATAACTTGTATCAAAATTTTAACTGCTGCGTCTATAACGTGTCCTTGTAGAAACAAAAACTACAAGAAGTTTACTTACAACTTCTTCTTTTTCTACAACATAAACACTAGTGGTAGAAGTTTGTTGTTCTAATGCACTAGAATAGGATTCGGATGTTTCACTACTACTAACTTTCTTGGGTGAATATTTCTCAGGGCTCAACGAAGCTGGTGACAAGCCTGGTTCCATACTGGTATCTGTAACAATAATAATAATCATACCATTAAAATTTCACGACAAATTTACTGATCACAACACAAATCTCTTGTACGGTTTGCTATTATTTATTTCAGCAATTACAACAGTTCCATTTCAGCCATTCATAGCATGTTTTAAAATATTTCATTGCCGTTCCATTTCTGCATTCCCTCAGTACTATTATTAATTTCATAACTTTAAACAACATCAGCACAACGACTACAATTCTTCACATTGTCTACAAATCTTTGATCTTTTTCAAAATATGTATGATCAGAAAATTCATGATCAGGAAAATAATCATAAAACTTGACGGCACAAATCATTTCAGATTAAATAAATATATATATATATATGTAAGCAGAGCATAAGCAAGATATATATATAATGAAAGCAGTATTTTTGTTAAGACATAAGCAGTATTTTGTGTGTTTATATATTAGAAGCAAGAGAAAGATCAATCATTGTGAATAATTTTGGAATAAATAAAGTGATTTCATATCAAAGATTAGGACAGTACAGAGTGAAAATAGAGAATTTTCCTTTAAAGACAACAGTAAAATAAGATAATCAGAATTGTGAAATTGTTTGAAACAATTTTTGTTAAAATCCCTTGACCTTTTCCTTTAATGTATGTCTGTAACTTGCTGACTTGCCGACTTGCCTCTTATACTTTTATCACAGAAAATACAGATATAGTGAACTGAAGCATTCATTAACCCTTTAAACATCAGAAGTCATTCTACAAGCCACAAAATTATGGGACCTGTGTAGCAGCCATTTCCAAATAATATTACTGTTATATGCTTTGACTTTTTTATTTAGGACTTCTGATACTCAACATTTACAGGGTTAAAGGTTATCAGTGAAACAGTTTAACACAGTATGATACAATTATGTTGAGGACTGACACACATGGTTAATTTTCAAAGTACATTCAATAAAGGAGATCTGGCCAAAATATAACGAGTTACCAAGTTTCAGACATTTTACATTAAAACCAAGAATGAAACCAACAGTAAAGATTAATCTGTCAACATTTCTGTATTATCTGATTTTAAAGTAAGAAGGAAAGACTACAAACTACCGTGCCGACTGTTCTTATTACAATTCATGTTACCAAGGACATCACTTGAACAACTTGGACTGGAGGTGGTAAAACTTGGTGTTCCCTCCGTATGTTCTGTATGGGTCGGTGTTGATTCGGACAGGCTCAATGGTGGTGAATTACGTATATTTGTTACTAGTCGTGGTACTGAATCTTCGGATCTGTATATAGCAGACGTCATTACATCAGATCTAAAAATAGAAACAGACAGACAACAATCAGAAAATGCAAATTACTCAATAATTTTTTTCATGTAAAATATGTTTCAAGTATGGTGTTTATTATTGGTAACTGATTTTATTGGATAACATTTAATACCAAAATATAATCATTTTTTCTTCTTGTTAGGTAACATCATTGAAAGACACTTTCCCTGATTAAAAAGGCTATTATTAAGATTAGTCTAGGATTATGATAACAATCCTTCACAACGTCACTATAAAAAGTTTCATCGAGATGAAGATAGACAGAGAGTGACAATAACAGTATTTATATATGTGTCCATTCATTTCTTCATAGCTACTATCAAGCAACACAAAATATATTGATGACCCTTCTAATCAATCCCTATACTCAGTACTATTGTAGTTACAATAATGTTTTAATACAGTATTATATAGACAATGATCTGGAATTTTACCTATTGGCACACTCTACAATGGCAATTTCCTATATTTATATTAGCAATTATTTTTTCTATTGGACTAATTTTTAATTCGTGTGGTGTTCATGCTATTGCCTCATGACCAATATATTGAGTATTAATTTTAAATCAATGAGGTTATTATTTATTGAAATAAACGGTCTCCGCTATAAACAATCATTTCTGAAGTCGCACATGTGGAAACTTAAAAATAGGCCCTACTTAAATTCACACCAAATGTTTGTTTGTCAACCTAGTCCACATATATGACCATAAATGCCATAGGGTAACAGTTTATTGCTTAAACAAATGCCAACGTATGTAAGGTTGAAAAATATTCGTGCACATCTGGATTTAAAACAAATAAACAGTCTTCTTTGAATGTATTAATTGCAATCCTGAATGTATTGATTGATTGGAGGTTAATAACAAGAAGGGAGGAAATGCACACTTCATACCCTTATTTGGAATATCAAACGCCACAGAGTGTGCAATAAGGACAGTTTTGACAGGCCAATGGATCTCTTTATTCTCTTGAGCAATGAGCTATTCAATATAATCATAAACTCATAAAATCATAAACCAAACTAGCTACAAGGCATAAGCTCTAATTCTAAGCATATATTGACACAACATTGTTGATAGCGTATTGTTATTACCTGTACCACTTCCTGATAGCACACAAATAAACAAACATAAACAATAACAATGGTTTGTCAACAATCAACAAATAGTGTAAATCAAGAAATAAGTGGCGTTCCAATAAAAAAAAAGATTTTTTGCAAAGGAAATTCTTTCAAGTCAAATACTATGATGACTCCATGTCAAATTTAACATTAAACTTTTTTGGTTGTTAAAATTTCTTCATTTACAAAACACTATACCTCATACAGGCAAACTAAGTCTACATTGCAAATCATTACAATAACTCGGCAGGGTTGAGACAGGGGTCGTTTAAAACATTAAATGGTACTGGAATAATTTCAAGTCATGCATCAGCAGTGAAAAAACGGGAGACAAAACAAACATACCATTTGGCAAAACATAGACAAATGTGATAAAAAGTGATAAAATTTTAAGCTAAGGCAAAATTGCAAAATACTGCCTAAGCAAAAATGTGTTTGAAAAATTTGAGCCTAATTTTAAGATACTATAAAATATAAGAATATATTTACCGTTTATTAATCCTATCTGTTCTATTGTCTATATGTGATGCAGGTGATGTTTGATGTGATGATATATCAGTTATACTCTGGTTAGATTGATATTTTGTATCATTAGAAGCATCAGGCAGTAGATCAGGTTTACCACTCATAGCTACAGATGGATCTACAATTGAAACAAATACAAGTATTAATAAATTGCTGTGATAAATACAAGTATTAATAAATTGCAGTGATAAATACAAGTATTAATAAATTGCTGTGATAAATACAAGTACCGGTATTAATAAATTGCTGTGATAAATACAAGTACCGGTATTAATAAATTGCTGTGATAAATACAAGTATTAATAAATTGCTGAAATAAATATGTACAAGTATTAATAAATTGCGGTGATAAATACAAGTATTATTAAATTGCTGTGATAGATACAATTATTAATAAATAGCTGTGATAAATACTGTGATAAATACAAGTATTAATAAATTGCGGTGATAAATACAAGTATTAATAAATTGCGGTGATAAATACAAGTATTAATAAATTGCTGTGATAAATAGGCGAAAACAATTCCCAATTCTTTTAAAAATTTTATGTGGAAAATCTTGCAACAATTTGTCATTGGGGTGGAAATCTACAGAGAATGGAGCTCTGGATGGTCTTGATAAGATTGGTAAGCTTTTATAACACCTCTAAAAACATTAATCATAATAAACTCCTGTCCTGTCACTGATGAAAGCGAGTAAATCTTACTTATGAAAAAAGTTCAATCATTTCATTGAATAAAAAACCCGAAATGGACTAACAAAGGAGGAACCTGATAAGTACATGACTTACTGTATTCATCTGAAAAACTAATGGTTCTCTGTGTTTTTTCTGGGAATTTTTTCATGCCAACAACAGGTTCTGGTTGTTCTGGAATAGTTGTTTGTGCTCTAGCTCTACCAGCATATCCTTTCTTTTTAGATGGTGAATGTTTTAATGCTGTAATATAAAAGAGAAAGTAAATAAATAGTAGACATAAGGCTTTAAGAGTTTGTATTTCATGGTTAAGGAACATCAAAATAGTATTAACTAAGCATTGTATCTTGGATGAAAGCAGGAAGTGATTCATCTCATACTAGATGTTAAATTGACTCAAAATAGCTAAAGCCAGAGATAGATTACAATCTTGACATGGAGGTTAAGTATTTTTATCTTAACCAGCAATTAATCTTTAATAAGTCATATATCCTTATCATTGAAGTCAATAGGAACAAATATTCTAGGATAGATCGACGCCAAGAGGTTTCACCGAGGACCAACTTGCAGACAAGAACCTATCTTCATTTTAAAAATAAAGTCACTCTTAAAATACTTACGAACTGGCATCTTTTTGAAGACTCTATTGGCACAATATGCTGCAAATCTTTGAGCATAATAAGCTGGTCTATGTACAGAAATAGTATCACCATCTATAACTAGAGATTTTAACTGATGTTCTATACGTTTTTTAAGTCTATAAAACTGTAGTATATCAATAATACCCAGGTATATCAATAATCTATCACCTCGTGAATTTCTAGCTGGAATGCCTCCTGGTCTGTAAATAAAAAATAAAAACAATCTTAGCTTAGGTGGTCTGAAATTATGGTATTTTGATGTAGATAGGAATGAATAGTATATGAACTAAATAACAGCTACCTGTGATCATGTTGCCGGTCCAAACTTTTACAGTATGATTTTGTTGAATTGTAGATGAACATGATATCAAATTTCTATTTTGTAAGCAAACAAATTTTTTAAACTTACGGAAAATTTTCATCCTCATTTTCATCATCTATGTCTGCTTTAGCTGTGATTGATTCTAATGCTGTAGAAAACTGGGCCAGTCTTGTTTTAAATGATTTACCACGCTGTAAACTCACATTAGCTACAAAATAAACAGAACCTCTGATAAATATTCAGATTTTATGGAGTTAATACATAAGAGGGTCTTCAAACTGATCATTTTGACATTGTTACCATCTTATTTTCACTTAATATAGCAAAATCACCTGTGTCTTTCCACCTGATTTTCATCCCCTGAGATTCATTGCACCTGCAGAGTTTTGAGAGATGGTAAACACTTGCTCACTCCCTACACAAATTATGCCTTTGTAATCAAAGTTTGTATGGTTGATGTCCAAAACTAACATTTGCCTGATTTATTCATATTCTCTTTTGGATAAGCAGTTTTCTTTGATTAGATTCTGTGCAGAATTCATTTAGTTTCATGATTATGATTTAAATAATACAGTGCTTTATAATATAAATGAAGAGATATCATGAGAAAGTATAATATATAAGATTTAGTACAGTGATTGTGTCTGGTAGATAATGTCTATAATAAGATTAACAAGACCTCTAGTTTATATTGATTAATTGATCAGGTAGAAGATATCAATAAACTTAAATAGTTCATTCTCTATAGAACTACCCAATCTCACTCTTCCAGTCTCTATTGATGTCTGGAGAAACATGACTATTAATCCACCTGGCAGGCAGACCTGGCTTTTATAAGTCATGTCTGCACTACATCAATCTGATTTCAATATAGCTCTAGATATAGTCTCTATATACTTTGAATTTCTTCAATCATTCTTAATTCAAAGTTCTTTGCTGAGCAGAGAATTTGATTGGTCAAAGTGGTGAACACATTTTATATCAATGTTGTGAGATCTTAATTGTGTGAAGTATTCTGCAGAATTATTAAAATATCTAGAGGAACAGTTTTTTTAAGGGATTAATTAAAATATAAGCTATCTTACATTTTCCAGGTTGGTAGTCTGGATCACCTGGTTCATATTCACTACACTCTGATACAACCCTTTTATGACCCTTTTCTCTTGCTGCTAAATCTAAATTATGTATACCCACTAATAAACTGAAGTCCATAATTTTAAAACTTTCTAGTACCTGAAATCACGAATAACATAATAATTATTAACATTTCAATTTTATTGACCCTCTTCACACCTTTGGAAGGTTTTCAAATCTAGTTTCTAAATTGATGAAGATGATTTTTAGTAAACAGCTAGAATTCTTAATCTTACACTGTATTTTTTTTGTGAAATTGATTTCAGTGTCCTACCTTATCACTCAATCACTTGAAATCAATTGAACTTGGACCAAATTAACTGATCAATCAGAATGGTGATGTTATCTTAAGAGCTTCTATGAGACATGGCCCTGAGCAAGGCTTACAGAATTAAATTAATTCATAGGTTTGTCTATTGACTTTTCAGGACATGCACATCACTATCAAATTCATATTTAGAAATTAGGAGGATTTGGCTCCTTTTCAATGACTTCTCAATCTAGGAGATGTGACTGGATCAAATAAATAGTACACAATCACATCTTATAAAGATAAAACAAAGCAATTTAGTGTGTAATGAGGGAAATTTTGCCACCTCAGCGGCATTAACCTAAAACTACCTTAAAATTCCCAAATCTGACATGTTAAAACCAATATCATGTTTTTTATTATGCACAAACCAAACATAGATCTTAGTAACCAAATACTTACCCTAATATCTCTATTCAATGTTTTAATTAACGCATCATAATATTCCTTTTCCATGAGAACACCTTCAGGATGGTTTTCATTAAAATCTAAATCCTTTAAAGTAGGGTTAGATTTAGCACGTTCACTTTTAGATGCTTTCCTTTTATATGTACTTCCTTTCAGATCATATTTTTCATGCATTTTAATACCAGAAGGAAGTAAATTGTTCATTACAGTAAATCTAATATTCTTTCCTCCACACTGAAAATAAAATCAAAGAAAATAATAATTCTATGTAGGAACAAGATATATGCTAGTAAAATTTACTTTTACAATTCGCTATTTGATACTCATTGACTACCCCAAATTAATCAAAAAAGTGGCAAAGAAATATCTGAACCCAATATCATAATAACATATTAGCAATGGAATTCAGATGTCTTCAACAGAGAAATGAGCTAAAATCCTCAATCAAATTCAGTTCAAAGCTTACCTGATAACAAAATAAACCATAATATTTTGGTAATAACGTTCTTGGATTCTGACTGAGATTCTGAAATATAGAAACCATCATTTCAAACTGGTCTCAAAGCTTTGGTTACATAGCAAAAACGTTGATTAACATCTAAGAATCACCAAATTTGAAGAATAAATAGCTTCAACGATTTTCAAATAAAAATGGACAAATGAAAAATAGTTAAAGTGTACATACCATGAAATAACCTGGTAATAATTTAGTTAAGAAATCAGCTTCTTTATGTTGAACAGTTTTAATGATAAATTCATCATCTTGAGTAATATAAAATATACTTCCACTAGCACCAGGATTACTTAATTCTTGTAATGGTTCATCACATAGAGACATCTACAAATATAATCCAAGTATGATTATTTCTTAGATATTCCTTACCTCCAGGAAGCAGGAAGTTTCCTATTCAGAAGAAGTTATTACCACCTGGTTTATCTTAGATACACATATCAAAAACTTAGAATTCATGCATACACTCTGCAGATCAAAGGTAACAGAGGTCCAGTATTTAATTCAGATTTGCTGTCCAACATTGCTACGCCACAACTTGGAAAAAAAAAGGTTAATTTCTTACCATGAAATCATCTTCACGAATTTTAAATACATCACGAAAATAGCGAAAAGCTACAGGTGCATATGTTTTAAAACGAAAATCACTATAAAGATGTGCTGGAGTCATATTACTACCTTCCCTGCAATAGATATAGATAGTTTGAAGATGTAATTAACACATGATACTCAGAAGCAAAGTGGCACCGAGTGTCCCAGAAAGGTGAACATGAATATATATATATAAGGAAACAGGTTTGCACATGAAACTTGAGGCTTCTTTCTAATGAGGGTAGTTATATTTAAAATATATTTTACTGGAACAATAGACCATATCAAGATATCTTGATCTTTTAGATATTTTTCACAGTGTTTCATATAAACATCTTTGGAAGATAAATTTCAGGATCATGAAAAACGCAATTTAGGCTATATCATAAAATACTGTTTAAAAACAACCCATGAGTTCAGGTCATGGCAGACTGACCATAAATTAAATGTAGTGTTAGGTATCCTGATATATGATGACCTTCATCATACACTTGGACACTTTCCTTACAAAATAATACATCATAAACTTACTTTGGAAAGAAAACACTTTGAACAACCACAAAATCCTGCATTAAAACATCACGTTCTGTTATAGATGATAAGCCTCCTATACTTTGTCCCATTCCAAGCTGGATGGCAGCCATAAGTTCACTTGTTGGTTTCTACATTGAAAGAGAGATGAAACTAAACATATCCTTTTCACCTAGTCACTAAATGTTATGAAAGAAGAGAGATGTCCTGTACACTGATAACTTTTACCTCATAATAATAACCTATCAAAATGATTAAAACCTACTGAAGCAGAACTGTAAACCCATGATGATAAGGTTTTGGTTAGTCGGGTTCCTTTGTTATAAGCTTAACCTACAGTATTTAAAGAGATTGTAAAGAGATTTTCTAAATTGTAGTGGGGAGACTGATGGCATCAATTTGCATCATTTCAATTTTCAGTCAGACATCTGTGTTTCCTGCAATACCGCAAAATAAGCGCTTGATGACACAACTAAAATATGCTTGTTATGACATAAGGCCCTTTGCAATTAGTGACATCATCAAACACATAGTTTGAGTGGAATTGCAGGAATCACAGATGTCTGATTGAAAATTGGATTGATACAAATTGATGCTATCACTGTCCCCGATACACATAAAACTTTAAAAACTCTTACCAATTCCTTTCAATATCTTATCATTAATAGTCCAGCTCACAAGTAAATTATTTTAAATCTTTTACAGTATTTTAACAACATCATTTTTTATACTAAATACCTTACATCCTTTATAATTTGTAACCTAGATTTTATTATAGTATAACAATAGATAAGAGTTTTCATAGTTAGACTTTCTGTGGTAGAAATTTACCTCAAACATGATGAATATTTCAACATACAGGAAAACAAACATCTATTTTTTAATACAAGGCAATAAATTTAAGTTTTTTTGCTAATCTGCTCAAATTTCACTTTGTGAAAGCTTATATTCTAATTAACAGATTTATTGCTTTTGAACTTTTGAACAAATGAAAACTTAAGTTTGATAAAAAAATGTGTTGAAATGATGAAAAAACTTTAAAAATATTTTTTTAATGCAGACTTTGTAAGGGAAACCCTTGACTAAGGCAAGAAAATTTACCTTACAATCAGCATGAGAATATCCACAGCTAAATCATGTAAATTGACTAACAGAGACAAGGTCACAAGGTGAAAATATTCAATAGACTTACATGACTTAATAACTCTACACCACACACATAAATATTAGATTTACATTTCATATTACTATTTAAAATAGAGACAAAGTTTCTTAATAATTTCACACAATATAGAATTGGTCTTTAATCACTTTGATCAAGATTAATATCCTAAAATCCTTGTAGGTTTGAATAACGAAGAAAGTTATTCTACACAAGTTATAATTCAGTTAATATTCAACACAATGCCTAATAAACTAACAAACTGTCTACATATTATGTCAAGACAAGTGAAAAAAATATGACATTTTATTATATCTAGTACATGTACGTCATTTTCTTGTTTCACATTTATAATATTAATAATAGGTATGTTAAATTAATACATATTATTTAAATGCATAGTTTGCAACTGATCTTAGAGTATATTTCATGTTCAACATTCATTTAGTTACATTTTTAATCTTTTTAAAGCAAGATTATTTGTTTCATTTATTTTCTGTGAACTGCTTCACTCATTCTGGATCTGACAAGAAGATTCTATGTTCTACTCTAATTCAACTTGATGGTGTGTCATAATTTATGAAAAATAACAACATTCTTAATAGACTTGCAGTAAGTAATAATGAATATTTAACAGAATGACTCAGAAGTGGTATCAAAGCTTTGTCTTAAAATTTTTCTTAACCAAAAAAGGCAACCTTCTTAGCATAGCTGTTAGATTCAATTGGCATTGAAATAGTGATACACCAAACATAATATTAGAAAATAAAGCCAATTAGAGTAAACTGAAACTTTTGTTTCCTTCTTTTTGTGGGTGCCTGCCTGGTGCCGCAATTTAATCATATTCACTGACAGAAAACATAACAACTAGATTTTTAAATCTAATTTGAATAAAAATAACTGAATTGAAAAACGCAATAAAATTGAAAAAAATCAATAAATTTCAGAATCTTTAAGTTTGATTAGTTTGGAATTTAATTACATGTAGCCTTCATATGACCTTTAAGATATCTTGTTTTCATCCAACTTGACCTAAATGACCTTAAATTGTGACTGTGGTATTTTCATAGTAATTTTTGAAATTCCAGTAGAACAAAGTCATGTCATTTCCTTCATTTGAGACTAGACAATAAAACTTCGAAAAAAAAATCCTCTTGTGCCTATTCATAAGTATAAGTATCTAGCTTTAATATCAAGAACAATATGATGGTGCATTATTAACCTTGATCTAACTCGCCAATAATCATTTCACTTAATTCACTGGTTCAAAATATCATGAATATAATATGTATTAAAATTATTGCGAAAAGATTTTCCAACTCTTATTTGTATAGAAATACTGTATGATGTCACTGTGAAAAAAAGCTGCTTATTAAAATCCCTAGTAGCTTTTGCAATAGTGACATCAAACAACTGTTAGTTTCAGTGGAATTGCATACAGACCCATAGAAATATGACTGAAAATATGGATGGTGCAAATCAGTGCTATCAGTGTCTCTGATTTAGAAAACCTTGTCATAATCCCTGTTTTTTATTGTAATAGAATACATAAGACAAATTAAATCATGAAATGGGTAGCACAAGCATCATTGAAGATGATAATATGATAAGCAACTTGGCTCCATGTAGATGTCATATGATGACGAGGAAGAATCATTCATAAACAAATTTGAGCATCCTCCACAAGTGTAGAGAAGAAATATTATTTACCTTTTTATATGTTACAACTCCAGCTTCATTTACACGTCTATGTCCGAGTTTTCTATCACGCATACTCTTGGATGTTGGTCCACTTGATATCATACTAGCCTACAAAAAAATATCAGTCAAAAAAATATAAATTGTTCTAAAATCAATCATGATCAGCCCAAAACATACAACAAGAATGTAAAAAATTTACAATAGGAACTTAAGATCCTTTAAAAATCAAATTGGAAAATATTTTTTCTATGAGGCAAAAAGAAATTATTATATTATTTAGGTCAATGTTTAATAAGCATAAGTAAAAAAAACCAAAAACTGTAGATAGTATCAAGCACAAAAAAATCTAGATATTTTAAGGTTACGAAAAAAAAAAAGGTTTTTAACTGAATACTATATCTTAAGCCCAATTCAAACATTATATAAGAATTGAAGTTAAAAGTCAACAGGGATTGAGTTTAGAAGTCAACATTTTATCAAATTGATAAAGCAAACAAATACAGTACACAAGGAAAACCTTCTGATATAAAATATAGTATATAAATCAAATTTGATACTTACATCAAGAGAGCCATGTTTCTCGAGTTTGTCATATCCTAAAATAACAGAATGTATCAGTTAAAACATGATAAAGTAGTAACACAATCATTTCATTATTTCACAAAAAATCTCTAGTGTGTAGACTGCACTTGAAAAAAGACTATCATAATTAGGGAAGTAAAAATTGAGAATAATACAAACAATAGTAAACCAAATGTGTCACATACTGTCTTTAATAACATTGGTCAGATAACAATAGTTAGTATTCACCCCCTCACTGTGGTGTACTTAACTCAAAATGATTCAGGCTACAAGTTATATGATCTAGGTAAACAGCTAATACTGGAGCTTAATAATGGATAACTTATTATAATCTAATATTTAAACATGGACTATAAGTCAAGGTGATAATCAAATATCAATAAAGATGGCTAATTTAGACCTGAATCTGAAAAATATTGGTATCAACATACTTAGTATTATATTTTAAATCAAGTTTTCTGATATCTATAGAAAGGAGTTATAAGAACAGTAAGTTTCAGTTTTTGTTCAAATGGTTACCGTACATAACTTTTTAAAACAAACATTTTACGTAGTGCAAAAGCAAGTTGTCTTTATAGTGACTTAACTTAAGCTCATAGTTCTACTTAAATATTGTACCAAAAGTTATCTATTTTATGGTTGTAATTTAAACATATTTAAAGTCTTAACCAGACAAAAACAATGGTTCCTCATGGGATGGAAGAACATTTTCTACCATTATTTTATGGTTATTGTTTCTCATTGGAATAAATAAAATCTTTTCTTACAGCCATTGATCTTAAAATGATACCCATTATAAAATCTTGATACCAGTGGCTTTGCTAACTTAAAGAACACAAGGATCTACCAATCTGATATCTGACATAAAGAGGCACATTACATTGCTTTTATTTTGCCTTTCGTTTATCAGACAAAATGATTACAAAAAAAATTAACAATAATGATTTTAGAATAGTTTCAGACCAGACCAGTTTTAAAGATATTGTTTTAATGTTACCTTTAGATCAACTTTAATATTAAATGGGCCCTGTTTGTTCTATACTTATTGAATCTGATTTGGATTGAAACAATAAGCTATCAATCATGTCACAAGTGTAATGTGAATAACACTGATTGAGTTGTTATCAGTCAATTTAGCAAAGTGCTTTAAAATAGAGGACACATTTTAAATATCTAAACAGCCTGGGGCAAACAATAACCTAACATGGATGCTCTTTTTTCAATCTAACCCACCAATAACACCTCATAACCAATCGAAATTGGAAAACTAAGTACCATACAGGTATCTATCATTGTGATGAAAAATAACACATAATAGGCAACAGAACTATGTGGAGAGTTTTAAAAGATAGGTACCGTAAACTTTTGTTCCTGTAAGATAGCCTTGGCCTAAGTGTGTGAATTATGTGTGGATAATGAAGAATAGTCCGAGATTGTCTTTAACATCTGACCACAATGTTTTCAGGATGCATTTTTCCAATCATATTTACTATGCTTGCAATATCATTTTAATTGTTTTAGTGTTGATGAAAATCTTCAACGACAACAAATTGAAAGTTTATTTATGGATGGTTCAGTAACCTAATGGGTTCCTTACACACCTTTTTGAAGGATGTGCTGTTAACCACTTAAGAGTGTAATATAATCAAACCTGATGCCTATATTTCTTTTCCTTTGGACCCTTAAACACGTTGAAAAGTTTATGTTGAATATTTTTGTGCAGAAAAACATTTATATAGACATAGATCTTCACCAATAAATGTTTAATTTACGTCTGACTTTATATGCCGGCGTGGACGAATATTAAAACATTATTACATATCAAATGTGTATACCTGCTGTAGATTCATCTATCTCGATGTCAATGTCTTCTGTCATCGAAACAGGCTCCGGCTGTCGAATTTCTGCAGCCGTCGCCATTTTGGTCACCAATACGAAATCAAAGTGAAAATCTTTTCCCTATGTGACCAGTTAGCAAGATTCTAATGAGGTAAATGTAAAACAGATACGCTTGTGTATCGGCTTCACTGAATACAGACTCTCTGGACTTCGTTTTTAAGCCAAAAAAGCGTTCAATATAATAAAATTATTGTGTTTTTACACTGCTGACAGACATATTTTCCTACGCATGCGCTAATCATTAGCGGAAGTTAATCAACCTCCCTTTAGTCTATTTTTAGAATCGTCACGGTGGGTGTGGTCATTAATAAAGGCACAAAATGGTTTAAAGAGCACCCAAGCTATAATTTTTCTGATAATATTTTAGACTTAAACCAAAAGGCTAAATTTTTGGCTACTTTTTTATTCTAGGATATGATTTTTGGCAAATCTTGGAAAGTTAATATTCCTTAAGCACAAAATAAAAAACTAAAAAAAAAAAAAATTAAAAGGCTATAAAATTAAAATGGTTCTTATTAATTTTGAGAATCCCATCGGTATGTCCACTGGTACGAATTATTTATATTCTTAAACATGACGTGGAGGGCTGAAATTGAATCAGCCCGAATCCGAATCCGACTTGATATCACTTTAATTAAATTCTGTGTAGTCTGAAGTAGTCAAAACTATCAAGAGTTGTTTCCCATCGCCCACACCAAACTCTGTCTTGCCTAAAATGTCCGTCGATCAAGATACACTTGACACCAAGAACATTTTCTTATGCAGAAATAAAATCTTTCGGTGATCAAACTTATTTTACAGGTAAGAAAGAAGAAAAAACAACAACATAAACAAATTCTCACATTTATTCAATAAGAGATAATAACAATAGGACCCCGTTCCTTTTACATTACAGACATAAAAAGATATAGGAATACAAATACAGGACTTTTTGTATAATATGATATATGCTCGATTTTAATGCTGAAAAGTGGTATACGATAAGTTGAAATCAAATAGGGTGGATAAGAGAAAAGGTATGAGTTTTTTTGAATCTTGATCAAATATTATGATGAGATGTCCAGATGATCCGGGCTATGACTATACTTGATAACCAAGCTGTATAATCTTCCATGTGGTGCAATCGAACCTTTAATACAAAAAAAGTTGCAAATAGCAACTCGCACACAACTGAAGAACGGAATGGCACATTTTGTCTCTCATCTAGATACTACAAATATTCGGGCTCTACCCTTCTACTCAATGAAATTTGTAAACAATAAAAATGCAGAGGCTCATAAAAATTGGAACTTCAAAATCAAGATTTATTTTGCAAAGTTAATATTTTTGCCAAATTATATACGAGTACATGTAATTCCGAACAAACAGTAACTCTGGGGTCAAGAATATGCCAACTGATTAGACCAATTATCACCAATCAGTGTCAAGCAGTTTGGATTTGTACACAATTGTTGAATATTTAACGGCGTTCAGAGATAGGTTTACGATTGGATATTTTAACTTTGGCGAAGAGGAATATTTATAATAGGAAAATTTCCGGGTTTAAAATCGACCATTGGATTCGAATGTTCATATGGAAGGTTCGTTATCTGCAACCAATGTATTTCTGTATTGCATAATCGTATTCCTTTTATGAAAAGTTCTTTCGCTGCTACCAAAATATTGCTGTATTGTATTGTTATGGCCTCTGATAGTTCTTTTGACAGTTGTCGGCTTCACCAGCCAGAGACTGAAATAGAGTCAGCAAGTTTCGGACTACCATCAGCTGTCAACCCGAATATTTGGATGAGAGTAGTGGAAAAAATGAATCATGTTTATAATTAGTACATTAAAGTCGTATATATTCACAATGAATTTATAAATTTACAGTGATGCGAGCTACATGTGTTTAATCATAATAGTATGTACAAATAAAATATCTATCACAGAATAACTTATTTTGAGACCAACAGTCCATCTAAAAGCAAAATATATTCAACCTATCCCTTGCATAACCTACAATTGAATGGCTTGATATTAAATCCAAAAACACCCTACTTGCAACAACTGAGCCAGCCGGAAGTACAAAATAATTCAGAATAGATAACGCTCAATGATTTATGGGAAATAATCTGTTTACTTCCGGTTGGGTTGTTTGGGTGAGTGTGTTAAATACAAAACCTCAATAGCTAAAGTACTATTTCAAACAAAGTTATGGTAGTAATTTTCCACAAAATGGCACCGTATCTTCATAAGAAAAGAATCAAGCCCCAAGCCAACGAATTTCAAGGAACGATATTGGCTCAAATCATTTGGTTTTATACATTTCCTATAGCTTTTGAAACCCGACATCTGAAAACAAAACCATTTCGTTGTCAGAGTTTAACTATACCAACTCACTATCTACGAGGTAAGCGACAGTTTCTGCATAGAGCTGGACAATTTTGCTCTATTCTACAGTAAAATATACAAATATTTTCACATGGTTTTCGATTGTCTATGGGATATGGTCGCTGTGTATGTGGTACATAGGGCGTTGTACGTCGTTGTGTAATCGGTGGTACATAAGGCGTTGTACGTCGTTGTGTAATCGGTGGTGGTACATAAGGTGTTGTACGTCGTTGTGTAATCGGGGGTACATAAGGCGTTGTACGTCGTTGTGTAATCGGTGGACTATAAGTGACGACACCACCACCATTTATGGATATATCAGCACAACTGTAGAAATGTTCTTGTTTATTGCCGTATCCTATATTTTGTGCTGAAAAAATGAAAAAATCATACATGAAACATAAGATTGTGGTTCTGTAAGCTGTGAAATCCCATCTCGCCTGATCAAAGTAAGCGGTAATGTGGAATGCTAAACACAACTATAGATCCTGTAACAGAATTAAAACACAGAGAGAAAACAGCAATATTTCTGTGAAAACAGAAATTGAAGACAAAACTGGGACTATACAGTCATATAGCCTACTTTCCGGGATGCAAGGGGTAAGTTATGCAAGGAATAGGAACACTTTCCCTTGGTGCTGAAGATTTTTCAACACGGTAAGGGTAAGGCAAAAAGTATCGATTTATTCTTGCTGATGTTTTGGGTCGTAAAGATTTCAATGCGGTTTTAAAATTTTATAATTGGTGTAAAAGCCCAATTGCAAACTTTTATCAAAAAATATTTTGAGAACATAAAAATTTTGATTGCTTTAGCCTGACGATGTATCGCGATTGTCATATCAGAAAAGGTGTTTGGATATGAAAAACTGAATTATTCTTACCTGCAATGTATTTCCATCTGAACACACATTGGCTACATACTAGCGTTTGTGGTAGATACACATCTATTTCGTAGTTGTCGTTATTTTTATTGACAGGATAAGTATAACCCTGATTGGTACGTAGAACATATTGGTTCATACATTGCTCCGTAGCTCTTATAAAATTACTATTGGTTGGGCATATTCTAAATTCAAAATAGCCACCATGATTGGCCGTCAGTTGAATCTTTGCCTTGAGAGCTTGACCACGTTGGTAGGTGCGAACTATGATGCCACGACCATATTTTCCACCAGCTTCATTATCTCTGGGTATAGGTGACTGATAAGGATCTCCACAAACACCACATCTACCACCGTTTACATCCCACAAATTCTGCAATATAATGGATGAAATATTTTTCCCTAATGTCTAAATGCATACATTTTAGAGATACCACAAATAAATATTTATAAAAACGAAGTCTGATTTTACAATTTTTACCATTCACTGAGCAAAATATTCAGATATATTCTCATTAAATATGCGCCATATCCCTATTCTTTACGACTGAAAAATACGATGATATTAAGAATATCACATTGTAAAATGATAATACCAAATTCAGTTACATAATTATCCTATATGAATACCAGGATCTCAGAAATGTCCCCAAATTAATCAAAGTATCAAAAACAAGAAATGTTACTTACGGTCAATCCACCACAATAAACTTCCATATCATTGTAATTTTTGGGAGCATTAGGAAATTCTCGCCACAGTGAACTTCTTCCTGGAAGATCATTCATTCTTCCATGAGATAAAATTCCTTCAAATAACATGGCGAAAATATAAAAGCTCATGAAATAGCCAGCCATGGTGGTATATTTAAAAGCACACCAAAGGTCGTTGTTGGTTGTATATAGAATGAAGGACCAAGGATGTATCCCTGTAAAGACCCTCTTTTATACCCAATCTAATGTATGCATGATTTAAAGCAAATATTGACCCGGTATTACTTATCTTTTTCTATTCTGACTCAGCAATTGTAGAGAAGTACCTTAACAAGAATATTTCATTGTCAATCTTCAACAATGACCACAATTAAACAAAGTGGGTCTTACTCATACTCAAATGTTTATTTAAGAATAAACTATAATTATGTGTTTTCCTACACTCTCTGCAATTTAATAGACGAACAGACTTGAAAAGACTTTAATTTTGTAAATATTGTCAATAAATGAGAAATTTTGATGCATTGTGTTTCAGATTTTGTACTCAAAACACGATTTTTTTTATTCAATTATCACATCCTCATCCTGTCTGATTCTCAGAAGTTTGTCATTTCTATTTAAAATATTAATATAATACAGCAATTGAATATCCTGGTCAAAATCAACAAACAACCTTCCAATAATTGACCCCCCTATCCTTGTAGGAGTGGGAAATTTCACTTTTTCCTATTGATTATTTTTTTGGCAATTTACAGTGCTAAATTCAAAGGTATGACAAATTTCTAAAAATAAAGAATATTATGTCCTGTATAGGGACCGGCTTCAAATAACAAAACTCCAATATTGCAACATATCATACCATAAAATAGGGCATGTAAAACAATGCAAAAAGTAAGACACAAAAAATTTATTAACAGAAGAATTTTTTGATGCTTAGATTCGTTGAAAGGAAAATACCAAAGATCATACGATCGACAATCTATTATATATTTCAAGTGAATCTTGTCTTAAAGAATTTGAAACAGGGTTTCTCCTAGATTACCAGAATGGCTTGGTCGACCATTATTCAAGGTCGTCATAGAGTATTCAAACGATCGCAAGAATTAAAGATGGGATACTATTTATTACAGCCATGCATCATCTACTTAATCAAGTCTGCGGACGTCCATGTTCCTTGAGCAAAGTTACACGATAATGATCATGTATAGATGTAAGTAATCATCGTACCGTTGCTAAAGGGACATGGCAGAATTCAAGCGTTTAATTCTAACTGTGGAACATTATCTAATTATCTGAGGATTGCTGTATCACTTTCTTTCTTTCATTCATTCAATGTGAAAAAGTACTGATCAAATGAAGCCATTTAAAGTGAGTCTGTACTGGAAGTCGTGGCTAATAATTGACCTTATAATTAGAATTACTTGACAAATATTATGAATTGATGTCGGAGTGAATCACTTTTATTAAAGGGATACAGTGGTTTACTCTACATTTTACGCCACTTTTTAGAATGGTATTCTGGCACAAGATTTGTCTGGAATTAAATAAAAGTCATCTATAATCTATGTGCTGAAGTGAAGATAGTTTCCAATTATCTTATGCTGTTATCAGATATCTATTTATATTTATCTGTAGGCCTACAGCTCAATGATATATTCTGATTATATGTATGGTGAAACCCGAACAAAGATTATGCTCTTCTACAAAGTGATAAGGACTGCTGGAATTCTCCCGAAAAAGAGCTCTGCTCTAACCACGCCTAATTTACCTGGAATTGTATATATTAAAAAAACAGTTCTACGTCGGGAAACGCTGCATCATTCTCCTATGCAGATATCGCCGATATAACAAAGTGGTCACTTAGATTATATTGTTATTATTTCATTCGGTAAGGTTATAATAGTAATTTTTTCAGATGAAAAAAATAGACAGCTACACCCCTTCAAGTAAATGAAATACGGTCACGATGTGTCAATATGTAAAACATACTGGCACATAAAGGAATCTACCTATTAATTTACAGTGTACTACAATAGTACTATAAAGGTACAATGATGTTATCAAATCTCAACTGGTATGACGTCAGTAGCCTACACTTGAAGATTTTTCAAGGCCAAATGAAAAGAGTAAAAGAGCGCTTGGGCGAAGGCCTACTCGCAAATGAATATTCTGAGACCCTTTGTAAAGAGCGTCCCAAACATTGTCACCTGTATTCTTCATGTTTCCATCTCAGTCAGAGAATCATTCATTCTTGTATCCATCATTTATAAGACCATCATGATCATGATCTCTATTATACCATGTGCTGTGCCGGTTGTAGCAATCTAGAAGGAATTGGTTACATCCAACTCAGGGCTAAAGCACAGTTCAACCGCACTTCTTCACTTAGAACCCAGTCGACTAGGTAGTAATCAGAATGTATAACCATGTCTCCCTTCCCCGACACAGTACATGTTGTAATGGAGCTTTCTAGGGGTATAAAATATTTGGTGGGTAGATAAATAACTATACTTGAACAAGAGATTCTTTACTAAAGGGAAGTTTACAATTCAAATTGACCTCAATATTTAACAATTTCCATTCAACGAAAACTGCACTTTCTCTGCAAACAAACGATGCGAAGAAGTCATCATATAAATTGGTTAAACCACATAGAACACTAACCCGGAAGTAGAATAAAGAGGTCACATGCATAGATAATGCTTCTTGAAAACAAGATAAACGTACAGGATGATAGCAACTTTATTTTGGATATGAAAATCGAAAACAATCATCACAATACGGAGGACATTTTCCATTTCTGGTACAGAATTTGAAACAGAAATCAAAGCATTCGTCTACATTTTTGGGAATAGTATTTTCATTGATTGGACGTTTGTAAGGTATAGCTTCTGTAGTTGTTCTTCTGATAGGATGAGCAGTGGTTGTTGACATTTCAGTTGCTCGTTTAGTGGTGCGTTTAGGTTGGTACCAAGGATTTTTAGTGGGTTTGGTGATCAAAGGCTTTAACCATGGGCGGGATGTGACAGGTTTGGGGTCGGCTGGTTTGACTGTGTTATCCGGTTTAGGACCAGGAAAGACTTTGAGTCCGGTTTTCCCTGTAGTGGTTATAGCTATATCTGAACAAGAGTAAAATTCTTCCTGTTTTGGTCCACATCCAATACAGCACGACTCTGTGTTACTGTTAAAACATCCGAACGAATTACCTGAAATATAATATTTACATGTGTCGTGAGCCATAAATTTGTATGTGTCGACCAAAGGTCCACTTCGGAGAGGAAATATTTCTTACTACCTTCAATTTGCATCATCAAAACACCATTTAACATTAAAAACATTTAGCAGCAAAATTTCGAATGGCATATAGGCATACACTCACACGACAGAGAGCAGGAGATTTGCGCATATCGTATTAGTAAAGAGATCCAAGACCGTAGCGTAATGGAGGTAACGATGATCGTTGAATCGACAAGATTTGTCTTTTTTCCAATGATTTCATAAGCCGCGTTTACACTGCCAAGACTCGGTCTAGATAATTTGTGGCTGTCTAAACGCGGCTATAGACCTAGACCCTTCTTTGCCTCATTTTAACTTGAAGAGCACTACAGCCTTGTAAGTTGTAATGTGTATAACAATATCAAGTTTCAAACAAATCTGTCTAACCTAGCATTCATATGCAAATTTCGATTGAATCAAGAGCGTCTGTTTCTTTTAAGGAAGTTAATATCATGGAGTACATGAGTGACTTATCATGACCCTGACCTAATTTCAGAGCTATAAAGATTGACAATGAGGTTATTTTCTACGAACAGTTATCAGATAATCTGACCAAACCAAACCCAACCAACGACTACCAATCAACAAGAATTACCATGATCAGAACGAGTTTGGAAGAAGATCGAGGGACTCACGCCACACCACCCTGGGCCGAATTTCACCACCATTTCATTCGACCCGACCAGATCTTACGAGGTAACAGCAACAGTACAGCATCATCCAATTTGAACCAATCCAACTACGACTACCAACAACTACCTAGTTTGCGATATCAGCATCCGCTGGAAGCGAACGTTAACTTGTCATCTACCAACCAACCAACCTTATTGTCTACTTCAGTGACTCTCACCCAGAGTAGGCCTAACTGCTTATTTACGCTGATTGACATCCCCTTTCTGCAGGTGGTCCGTTGGTGTTTTATGAACCAAGTTTGAGAAGTTAAAAATTTATGTTCATTTTAAGAGGTAGTATCTCTTTAATGCAAGAACATTTTTATGATTGTCGTAGCCTATTCTTTAGACAGGTCTTTATACCCTAATATTACCTCCCTTGAACTAGAAATTTTGAAAAGCGTGTTTATTGTGAAACCTACTTGAGATTCTTCTTAGGATATGCTATTTGGTTTGAGTATCTTGATTGTTTAAAATTTCGTATTGTAAACTTTGTTGTGTGTGCTATATGAAAAGCGAGAGCAATTAAAGGAATGCCCCAGTTCTTTCCGCGGATACCATCATTAGATGTGTTAAACGTCGTACGCTGTTGCTAAAAGAGCATGGCAGATATCTGGTTTGGTCATTCTTAAAAATCCTATCAAAAGTATTCAGTATAAAGTTTCTTTGCAGTAAAACCTCACAAATTTTACCTTAGACATATATATTATATATAATCAAAAATATCAAAAAACATTGCCCAACGGAAACTTGCAACAGTCGCAAATAATCTAAGCATATCCAATTAACACTATCAGTGAAAACGTATTCTCAGTTACAATCACAAGTCAATTCTTCACATTTTAGTCACTTTAAGGGGAATAGCTCGACGAAGAACATAGACAGTATTATAGGCTTGCTTATCACCCCAATATCATATATTAAATTTTTATCTTTTTATATAGCGTCATTTAACTGTATGTAACCTAGTTTTTAATTGTAATTTACTTGTCTAGCTAAAGTAAATAAAGTTAAAGAACTAGTTATACAATTGATTGAAAAGACATTTGGATAATACGATATTCAACAATGCAACAATTTAAATTGGCAACTTCATACAGTGTGCAATGGGGAAACAATTGTCTTTAACAATGTTTAAACCAAGGCCCCGTGTGCTACAGGCTGTGCACGTTAAAGATCCCGAGACAGTTGGAAATCGAAAAAAAATCCATTCATTTCATTTCATTTCATATAACAATGTTTAGCGTCATGCTATAAGTGGCCTTGTTGGTGTCTTCACATAATTATCCCCCCTTCCGTATTCGCCCCATCCCATATCGCACCTTGTTTTTTCGCCCTTCATCCATATCTATCCTTACCATTACACTCCTGTCTATTTCACCCTTTCCCAACAGGACAAAGGGTGATTGGGAAAGAGGAAGAACAGAAAGAAAAGGAAGGGACAATAAGGGTTTTTGTTTCTAGTTTGTTGCTACAGCCTACCTGTATGGTATCGCCATTGTAAAACACAATGTTTACAGGTTAAGTATTGTGGTAGCTCCAGTTTTACAGTAAAATTACCATTGTGCTTCGGTAAATCAAATCTGAAATCAAAATGGTTATATTATTTAAATAGAACAAATACTTTTCGAGTTTTGATGGGATATGCTTGGGTTTCGCAATAGTGACGTCATATCGTTTTCTTGAAGTACATAAACTCACACGTCGACTGAAAATTTGAATAGAACAGAAAGAATAAAAGGTAGCCCGGTAGCACCAATGCGTGTGGTATTATAGAGGTAGGCTATATTGGATCAATAGAAATGTGTTCTATATTAACGAAGTATACCATACTGTTCATATTATCCCAAAGGTCAAGAAATGTGGCAAATAATTCGATGTTTGAAGACGAAACTAATTTTGAATGGTATAAATCAATTCCTGTGGGCCAAAAAAAAAGTCTTATAAATAAATGCAAGAGCAGTTGATCATCGACACCAACACCTAAAATCGGGCAATGGCTATTTACCACGTATCAATTTTGAAATGGAAGTTAATCGCGCTACTCGGAAACATGCTGGTAAGCTGGTAAGGGAAGAACGGAATAGTGATCAAGATGTCTTACTTAGTCTCGCCATTGATCTGTCTCAAGAGGTACTGATCCAGGCATTTCTGAGTCGCTCTCTTCTTTGGATCATTAGTTGGACAAATTCTGAACTCAAAATAGCCTTTATGGTTCGCAGTTACTTGAACCACAGCTTCTAAAATGCCCCCTTGTTTATACTCTTCCACAATGATTCCCAGTCCATAAGTACCACCAGCTTCATTAGATCGTGGTATCTTTTCTTCCCAGCTATCTCCACAAACACCACACTGGCCGTCCAGGTTACTCCATTGTTTCTGTGAATTAAACATCAAGAACTGTTTTCCAGTGAAATTTCGATGATACACTTAGGATAAATAGATGCAGAAAATTTTACCTGTTACAATTTTATTTCTGTATTATTGGGTTGATTAAGACAGTCATGCTATTAGCCTACACCCCATCTTCAGGTTTTCTCATTCCAACAACCAGACGACTCGACTTTTACAAGAAGTGTCAATTAATACAATAGCAAATATTTTACAGATTTGCACCGTGGCAGAAGTTTCTGTTACAGTGCTGACATTACATTATGAATATTTATCGTAAACAGTGCTAGAATGTGATATATTTTATAACCTTAAGCTTTCTGAAGTTTTCGCTCAATGACCGTGTGTAATAGCCTACTATTTGTTACATATTTGTTATACAAAGGTTTTCATTCGCGAAGCAGGGCATATCATTCGCCCTTAAGGATACCTGATACCATGCACTCTGGGTTTGTCATGTTGATACCCTTTTGACTAAAGCATGAATTTGGTGTTATACAACTTTCAATTCATCTCAATATTACCTAATAAACGTTACGTTTAGTTCATAAAATCACACTTACCCCGAATCCACCACAATTCAATTCATTATCATTATAATTAACAGGTGTATCATATCCTTCTCTCCACATATACGATCGAGATGCTGGTTTACATAATTTGGCATGGGATTCAATATACTCTACACATAATCCTAATAACAAAAATTGAAATATAAGAAACATGGTCAGTCAATAAAAACTGTCGACACTGTTCGCAATCTTGAAGAAGAAAGACCTTCTTTAGAGATATTCAGAAATACCAAACCCATCGTAATTATCCAAAAAATCTTTTACTAACAAAATAAGATTAGTGTATATTGTTCTTTTATCAGCCTTTCTTATAAAAGACTTTTGTTTTGAAATAATATAAAATCACAGCACGTAGTAGAGGTGGGAAAGGGTCACTTGCATCATAAAGAAACAAATTCCGTTTAGATAATTGCACATGTACCTGTTAATTCCACCATTAAACTATATAAACTGAGTATACTTACATTATATTATCGTTCTTTATTTTAAAGGTATACTAACTTTGAAGATGGCCAAAAAATTGAATTTTTTTAAATTTGGCCAAAATGAGTCATTGTTCATCTGTGGACTTACCTGGTGTCAAAACTATACGATAGAATCCCAAAACTAAGTAATAATCGCTAAGAAGCGTTTTTCAATAATTACGTAGTTTAATGAATATTTTTTTTATACAGGTTATATTCTTTAGTCACGGCACCTTGTAAGTCCAACTAATGATTATATACACTTGATGGCCAAGTTTGAGACTTTAGATCTTATATGTTCATGCTAAGAGATAGGACCTACATAGTTTTCTTCCTATTACTTTATACATACATACAACAGATGGATAAACTGCCTAGCAATGCAAATAACTTTCTTTCCTTTTTCTTTGACTCTTCGTAACTTTGCCTTCACAATGGTTATTCTCATCCAGTCTATATTTTTAAAAACGGTTACCTCCCATACATTTATAAGTTTGTGCAGTTTAAGATATTTTACTGTAATTTCCTATTATAATAATGGTGCAAAACAAATAACCGTAAACATAATAATATTTTCGTTATAATTAACACATTAAATAATTCTCGTGACCGTAACATCATACTGTAATTATTTTACAATAAACATAATGTTATGTACGGGACTGTAACTTTTGTGACAATAAACATGGCATTATAATATGTTCTGGACATTTAACACTCTTCCGCAAATTTTCTGACAATAAACATAAAGGGAAATATAATGTTCTGGACACCGTTCTGTAACTTTAACTTGTCATCTACCTACCTACCCAACCGTTCTGTAACTTTATTGACGAAAAAATAAAACAAGATAAAATGTTAGTAACAGTTGAGTATAAAATTGTCTTAACAGTTCTATGTAATTTCTATCATAGTTAAAGATAATATGATGTTTTATGAAATTAAAATGAAAACATAGCTTAGTAATTCAGTTTATTGTAGTAAATTGTAATGATATGATATAGTATTACTCTTCTATACAATCTCTCTCTCCAACCAATTATTCACCGTCATATCATACTTTGAGAGCAGGTTACCATAACCTATTATTGCGATTTGCATGGTAATGTTATACTAATATTAATTTGAGAGAATCGATACAGGTGAAATTTAGATCAAGTTCAAGAGTTCAATATGCTGATAAAAAACTTTTAAAAAAGTAAATTTGATGTTTGTAACATACTGGACTGAATTAATTCGTTTTGATCGTGGTCATCCAATATTTTATATAAATGATTAACCACCAAAATAATTCAACACTTGTTTCATTAAAAATAATAATTAATTTTCTCAAATGAGTATAAATATGAGTGGAATAATAGAATTCCACAGTTCCAGTATTTTCCATCTTACATCTCGTATGTATATTTGAATCTTAACTAACTACGTTAAGGAGAACAAATAACGTAGTTAGTATTTGTAAAGAAGTCTTCATATATACACAGGAGCTGGGACGCTAGAGCATAGACCTGCACTATAATATCATTCAAGTCGCACTATGTTTCTAATTGTATATATAACTTTGGATAAAAGAAGAGAGTGATCATGCATACTTGAACTGTTTCCGGATGTTATGTTTAGTGTAATTCAATCATCAGTGGATATGCTGGAAATATGTAGCTGTGTAATATTACTATATTAGTTTATACGAATTTATCTATTAATATATTACACTGTTGGCGAAAGGCATTTCGACTTCAAAGAATTAGTATTATACACCAATTAAGAATAGGCAAGTGGACATTCATATACGAATTTATTTCTATATTCATGTACACCGATTACGATAGGTCAAGTCGACATCAGATATAAATAGAATTCCTTCGACTGTTAACAATATAGGCTATCGATAGAACATCACAATACATACAGCTCTGTAAACCTTCAAACATCTGAAGTATATTCTTGGACAAAGTAAGTCAGTTAGTTTAGCAGTAAACAGATCAGCAAAAAGTGGGTCACATTAAAAAGAGAATTTAGATACGTGACGCCATCTGTTTCAAGAATTACTACTTCATCGTGAATGAAACTGTGATCCTAGTGTAATTAAATCGTCGTCATGGCAGACCATTTAACAATTCCACAGTTAATTATGAAGAAAAGGAATAAAGAAGAATTGTCCAAACAGGACATCCAAGATTTTATCGATGCTGTGGTCCAGGACAAAGCAGAAGGAGTACAAATCGGTAAGATTTTTGTCTTTTTCTTGGTAGCCAAATTTAAACAATTGCATATCGATATAAATTTATAACCAATGTATATAATATACTGTAGAGTATTGTGTTATGAAATATTCTTAAAAGCCACACCTTTATGCACTTCGTTCCAAAGCGTTAGCTTAAACAAGTCCTTTTTTGCACACAATATTCCCTGTGATATTCATGATAAAGGAAGTAAAAATGTCCTTCATTTCCACGATATATAATTGCATATGTAGGGCCTTTACTTAAAATTCACAAAATCTAGTCAATGCATGCCAAATTTCTTTATATAATGGTTTAATAAATCCAGAATACCATGTTTTAAGTATTTGAAATTACTTATATACAATATAACATAATATAAACATATAATTATTTATTACAATATAACATAATATAAACATAACATAACATATAATTATTTATTACAATATAACATAATATAAACATAACATAACATATAATTATTTATTACAATATAATGTAGGAACAAAAACTCTTTTCAAAAATGATATAAACTGACTGCAGTTTTACGCCCTCATCTTCTGCACCTAATTGAACTAATTAAAACGGGCAACGCCATGGCATTCAGTGTGCAATGAGGCAAATTTTTCCAGGAAAGAAGCATTAGCCTTCCCGAATCGGAATGACAAATTCAATAGCACAGGCTATAAAAATATATTGTGTGGTAGATCGAGCCACTGTCCTCGCCCTACTTTCGTCGATTAACACATTAGTAGTTGCTCCTGTCATGAAGACTTTGCACTGATATAAGATAAATACGAATACGTATCATTTTCATATTAGTTTTGTTTGACAGAGGACAATTTTCAGTAGAAAGTTAATGAAAGGGAATTTTTTTTTTGTAATAAATGTAGCCTTGCCAAATTTAGCCTTAAATATATTTTTATAAATGAAAAGTCATTCTAAAACTATCAGTTCTGATTTGCTCCATTTACAAATGATATGGGTAAAATACGATATAATAAATTAAGATGACTCAGTGGTGTTCCTTTATCGTTGATTATAGGTTATAAATTTCAAATGAATTGCCTAGTTGTAGAAAACAGTTTTTATATACATATAATATATAAACATATATGAAACAAATAGCCATTTTAAAAAACAAAAATGTCTCGCAGAGGTTGAAAAGAGTATTCTCATATTTAAGTTAAAAAAAAATAATTAATCATGTTTTGCAATAGCATCCAAAAATGTACTAAATCAATTGTTCTAATTAGATACAGATGACATTTTCGGAGTTTGTGTTGATATAGATCAATCAAACTAGATATCGACAACCCGTAATACTTTTAACAATAATAATCCTGCATGGCGCTTCGTTTCGAATCTCCTCCACAACAGTTGAGATTGACCAGCTTCAGGTGGCTGACGCCGCAACAACATAGTAGTATTCATCATCTATCTCCATCAGCCCATTTAGCAAGGACGTAAAACTTCATTATTTTCACTATTATATATTGCTACAGAATATTAATATGAAATTTTCCATTTTTTTTTTCTTTTAGGCGCCATGCTGATGGCCATGTTACTCAATGATCTGACAGTGACAGAAACAACACATTTAACAAATGTCATGATGAATTCAGGGGACACATTAAAATGGCCGGAGGAATGGAACGGTTCATTGGTTGATAAACATAGTACTGGTGGAGTTGGAGATAAAATTAGTCTTGTTTTGGCCCCAGCTTTAGCAGCGTGTAGTTTGAAGGCAAGTTTGACATCAGAGATAAAAATCCTCCCAGTTAGAGGATTTGAATTTACGTGCTAATGCTATTTGCTTGGACGTCGAACGATAACGCTTGGTGTTTTTCTTTCCTGAATTACCCGTACCGATTTACAGCCCGGTGGACTAGAATGATTAGGGAAAGATGACTTATTCAGGGTCAACTGATTAAGGCATACACATACCGAACGAGATAAGAACCAACAGGTTACTAGTAGAAGTCTTCCCTTATCAACGCAGTAGTCAACTATATTTCACACAATTATCATGTATTCTGTACACGTTAAATTGATATGATTTGAGTTGGATGCTGGTATCTAAATTTATAAATATAAATCTAATATATAACTTTCTAGAGGTAAATCTTTAGAAAGTGGAACATCCTTTGAATTTTAGTAGTTTAATAAATTTTATAATTTGTACCGTCAGGTTCCAATGATATCTGGAAGAGGTCTTGGACACACTGGTGGCACATTAGACAAAGTAGAATCCATCCCAGGATTTCAGGTTGCCATAAAAACAGATCAAATGGTGGACATATTAAGAAGCGTTGGTTGTTGTATCGTCGGGCAGACGTCCAATTTATGTCCAGCAGATGGTGTTTTATATAAATCACGTGATGTAACAGGAACCGTTGACCACATAGGTTTAATAGCAGGTATATATAGAATAGAATACAATAGAATACAATACAATACAATACAATACAATACAATACAATACAATACAATACAATACAATACAATACAATACAATACAATACAATACCATACCATACCCCTTGTGGCCTTGTTTTTCACTTTTACCATTAAATCCTGGAAATTGTACATATTGTATCGTGTACACTTAGAGGGTATGTGTACACATGGTGGGTGTACACCTAATGTACTGTTTACATTGTACATTGACTAATTTGATCGCCAATTTATTCATCATTATACCATTGTTCTAGCCTCTATCGTTTCCAAAAAGGCTGCTGAGAATGTGAACGCTCTAGTTTTAGACGTCAAAGCTGGTAAAGGTGCTTTCTGTGAAACTGTGGAGAAGGCACATATTTTAGCAGATCGTATGGTAAGTTTACCCATTTCTAAAAATAGCGACATGGAACCAATTACTTTAAAATACGCAGAACGAAGATTAATATTTCTGGTGGTCGATATTCTACCTAACGATATGCTATTCATGTCTGGTAATCTCCTGGATCAAAATCTTTGCTACAAAAAGACTTGCGGCGTATGATGTGATGCATGTGACTTTACGACGAGGGTTCGAATTAAGATTGAAACTGCAAGTTTTATTGTTGTTTTAGGTACAGGCTGGTAAGGGAATGAATATAAAGACATCAGCTGTTATAACTGACATGAACTCCCCTATTGGTAGAATGATTGGTAACGCTCTAGAGGTTATAGAAGCTATTGAGTGTTTACATGGTGACGGTCCTCAAGATATCAATGAGCTTGTTGAACAATTGGGTAATAAAACTTAAGTAAATTTCTTCTCATATATAATACATTCTAGCCTTACCTTGGAATTACCGGTTATTTATGGCTAATTCATTTTAATATTATGAATATTAGCCAGTGGTTGGTTATTCCTATCTAAAATATCTCTAGATTTAATTTTAGATGATTGATTTATTACTATAAGTGGTTCGTTGCCTCACTCTTTGGGCCCTACACAGTCTTCCACTCTTAAATTAACAAACCTTTAGAGACACTGACGATTACCAAAAAACATTACTAGGGGGGCGTGGCTTATTATGTTAATCTCGAAACTATCTATTAAAGCACATGTGTATTATTTTTGTGATCGCTTTGAATTTTATAGTTTGTATTTAATCCAAGTATTTTGCAGGTGGACAACTTTTATTATCTATTGGTCAAGTCGAGACTATAGAAAATGGAAAAGAAAAGATTAAACGGACACTGACTGATGGTACAGCTTTAAAGAAATTCTGTGCTATGTGTGAAGCTCAAGGAGTAGCAGAAAACTTTGCTGAAAAGTTGTGTACAAAGGGTGATATTTCACATCTTCTGCCTAAAGCTCAACACAAAACACCGATTAAAAGCAGACTGTCTGGTAAGAATTTGGTGTGGCTTGAATTATTTTGCGAGGTACCACAGTAGTTATCTTGGGAAATGAGAAGAAAACTTTTTAGATCTTAGATTTTGCAACTGAGATAATGTTAAAGGGACAGATGTGCCATTTTTGTTACCAGTCATTCTTCAGTCTCAGAAACGGGAATATTTTAGCCAAGCCAATCAGTATAGTGTTCACAGCTTTCCGTGGAAATCTTAACCTTCAAATCCATGTGTCAAGAGTTATGAATGTTAAAATGACGACTCGTTAAGTTAAGGTACTCTGTGATATATATAAGACATATAGAAACAGTGAATAAAATCCCTACTTTGAAATATTATTAAAGGAACTATGCGATTTTCATACATTTCTAGTACTTCTGAAGACTAGTTACATATATTCAAGACTAAATTCAACCCCCGAAAATGTCACATATTGTTCCTTTAAGAGCTGCCCAAAAAGAATCATTTATTAGCATCCAATTATTCATAAAGCAAACTGTTCTAGAATATCTTGATCTGCGTGTATTGGAAATTCTCAACTCGATGAATATTGATGAATAGATTCTAGAAACAAGTATGTTTGTACCTATACATAATCCAAAAAAAGACTGTATACTTCTTCAATCGAGAGAAAAGTTATCAAATTTTTGTGGAACTGATGATGACATTAGAATAAATTTATACTCTATATATGTCGCTTATAGGTGTGTGTAAAAATGATAACCACGTTAGTCTATGCCTTGATTCTTGTAAATATTGCTTGACATCTAATACACGCAACAATGCTTACCATTGTTAGTATTGTATATATACAGACTGTCTATTTATTGCCATTTATCAAGATTTGATTTGAAATTGGGGTTTTGGCAGGTACTTGTAACGAGTGTTGATCGAGATTATTCAAATTGAAGACTTTACCGATACTTTTTATTAGTAACAAGTGCCTTGTTTATTATTATATCATGACTATATGGGCATTATGTCAATATTTGATTTGGAATTCGGATTCGGCAGTTTGGTGAATGAATGCTTCTCGAGATTATTAAATTGATCCTTGCCGTTACTTTGTTGGTTATATTTTAGGTACAATATCAACAATAGATGCCATGGAATGTGCTCGAATAGCCCAGTCATTAGGAGCAGGTAGAACAAAATCTGATGACAAGTTGAAAAACGGAGTTGGACTTGAGTTACTGGTCAAAGTTGGTTCCGAAATAAAAGAAGGTAAGCTGGCTATAAATAGAAATTTTATCTTTTTAAAAATTAACCCTTTTAATATCAGAAGACCAAAATAATGAATTGAATTTTGACACTTCTTTGGTTCAATTTAGCGGTAAACCTTTTTTCTATTCATCTGAACGACAAGACCGTCAAGTTATGTTGAGGTGAACCTTGGAGTAATGACTGAACCAATAGAGGTATGGACTCGCCAATGAGCATACAGACCCCTTCCTCCATTTCCCCCTCTTGAAAAATGGCTTGTACTCCCACTTGTTACTCCATTTAACTATTAACAAATTTAGAAATATAAATTTTATGTGTTCCTACCCCAAAATATGTGTCAATTCGATTCATTTTTCCGATTATTTCTATGGGAGAATCCTTCAGGTTTTCGACTATGACGCCTCCACAGATTGGTCACATTTTGAATTCAGCCTCGAAAATTACACCC